TTTCATTGGTGGATTTCAAACATCGAACCTTATAAAAGTCGGAATCCAACCAATGTTGTCACTTCGGTCTTGACCTCCAAGTAATGCAAATAAAGTTTTAAAAACCGCCAAAGTTCAAATACAGTAAACATCTTACAAACGACATTGTTATCCAAACTTGTAAGTTGGTATGTATTTATATCCAGTATTATTAACTCACTAGACACTGTTGTTGCCGAAATACTTGTTATAAACTTAGAAAACTTTAAAAGAATTGTATTTATTTTCTCCATCCTGACATACGTTTACAATATATACAACCAAGTTTGTTAAAATAAAAGCCCTTGGGTTTAAACTGGCCCCGCTCCAGGGGCCTATATACAGGTGAGCGACTTTGGGCCATCATGGCCCTCTTGTTTTTGTAGTGGCCCAATAAAGGCTGCTTCCCCAACCAAACTAGCCCCTTTTTTTTCCCCAAGTTTGGTCCTCAAAATTCCCAAAGTCTTGAAATTTCCCATAGAATTTAGAACAAAATTAAATGAGGTCTTTTACTGCCTCATTAGTATTTTCCACTGCTTTTTGCTGTCCTATTTTGAAGAACATTCCCACTGCTTTTTGCTTTTTTTATTTTGAAGAACTTGTTAAAAGTTTTTGTTAAATTTGAGACCCCTTTTTTCCCCCATTAGAAAAAGGCCGAAACCCCTTCCTCAAAAATGGTGTTTTGGCCCTGGATTTTATTGGCAATAACACCCCCTCCCACCACCACCAAAAAAAAAAATCAACAACAATAACATTATCAACTCGTAATTCATCAACAACGATAAAATTTACTGGTCAAGTTGCCAACTGCAGAACATAATTTGTCGCCATTTCATACCCAAAATGCTGATTTGATTAGCGATAATCTTGAGATGCCGCTAGTTATTGTTTCATATTGAATATTAAGGCCAATTATCCAGTGCATATTCAACAATCTGCCACAGGTATTTTTCAGACCAATTAGTGTCGTATTTATCAGCTGATAAACATGTAAACATACCCTGAGCCTGAGGTCAGTGTATTAGACTGTGTTACTGTTCATATCAATATTTCGTTTTGAACGGAAGTTACAAATATAAACCAGTCAATGACCCACAAAAAGTAGACCGTGTCGCTCTGTTTTGAGATAAGAAGTGATAAAACGGAAGTTGTAGATGTGAACTTTTCCATTCTTAAAATAGAAAATGCTAAATTTAGACTGGAGATTCCAAAAGTCATACTTTTCGTAAGTTTGAGCCAATCGTGATTTTCTTGGGCCAATTTAATTATTTTGGAGCCAATTTGCTCATTGGCTCCTGCCAGCGCGAGCCCTGGCAAGGAACTGAAACTTCTGTACATGGCTGAGCAAATCACCGTAGAAAATATTTCTTGATCAATTACAATGAATGTGACCTGTGCCGTCCAGGAATCAAACCTGGATCGCCCGATTCACAGTCCAACACTGTACCTATTGAGCTATCTGGACGGCTCTATGATCAAGGGGGCTTTCGGTTTAAATAGTGTAAAAAGTGACATCTGGAAGCTTCCTTCAGCCTGATAGGGTTGAATGATGATATGTGACTGTGTCACATTTTCATGGTTTTATCCGTCTGCTTAAATTGCCTTTTGTTTTTAGCCTTGAGACTGATATCCAAGGTTTCAACATGTTATATTAGGTCAACAGTGTATTATGACTAGTGACGTATGAATAATATCACACTCACTGATGATGTTAGGCCATTTGTGTTTTACGATTTGTCTTAAGATTGTAAGCAACCTTTAAAGGATGACTTCAATTAACTTTGTCAGTTTCTCATTTCAGGTCGTTTGTTACGGTGTGTCAGATGCCCGACAGCGTTCCATGTCGGCGACTTTTGTATATCTGCGGGGAGTATTAATTTGACTGGATTTAACATAGTGTGTGCTAAACATTTTCAACCTATACCCTCAATGAAGCATCACTCACATGTCAACGTTAGTTGGTGTTTTAGCTGTAATAAAGGTAAGGAAGTTTGTATCCATTTTTGATATGAAAAAATTTCATATAGTCTTACAGACTTCACTTTTGAATATAACAATGGTAAGTGGTTTGTTGTAACTGGTTACTGTAGCCTGATGTAAGAAAAAACATGCATATGTATCAGAAATATCTGGCTCTGTGTGGAAATGGGAATTTATAATCTTGAGACATACAAATAATTTAAATCTCAATGATGTAGACCATTAGGTCATTTGTTTCTTACATTTGATTCAGAAATCATATTGCAATGAGTAGAACATCACTTGCAGAGAAACTGATAATAATTAGGTAGTTATCTAGGAAAGCTAATTTAGTGACTGTCGAGATGTAAACAAAAAATGTGTTTTAAATTCAGGGTAAAAACTAGGAAGCAATTTATTATGGGCTTTATTTGAACATTCATTGTGAATGTTGTAACAAAATTATCTTTCTTATATTTCATGTGCATCTTCCTTTGTATTATACTGGACTATTGGTACGAGTTCTTCTTGATTGTTTGTAGGTGGCACATTGCTGTGTTGTGAGAGTTGTCCAGCAGCGTATCATGCAGAATGTCTCAATATAGATTTCCCAACAGGGAGCTGGTACTGCCAGGATTGTGTGAAAGGGAAGCGTCCCCTGTATGGAGAAATTATATGGGTCAAGCTCGGCAATTACAGGTATGTTCATTGTTGCTGCTGCATGTATATCTTTTCAAGTTTTGCAAGCAGCCAGGATTGTCTGTGTGCCAGAGTGGTTATGGTTGTCAACTTCAAACCACTTGCCCCCTCAGCTCTGTGGGTTGGAACCATGACAGGGACTTTGGATTTTTACATGTGAAAAAGCTATCCAGCTAGCTTGTTCTACACAGGTGCCTAATCGTGCCTGAAATAATGGTACATTTATGTATATGTGAATGTTTATATGTCAAATAGATAGTTTAGTTTATTTCTTGTCTGGGTACAATTTTAGATGGTTTATCAACTTTAGCTAGTTTTAGAAGTTATAGTCCAATTTAGATCAATTTTCAGATCAGAATAAAGAAAATATTTTAAAAAGTGATACTCATCTTCTGTACAGTGTTAAATATATGAAATTTATATTAATCATCTTTTGTTTTTGTTTTGTATGAGAAAAAAGAAAAACATTTATTTAAGATATTTTAATTGTATTAGAAATCACTCTGGGAAACAATAAAAAAGTATCTCTTGCAAAAAAATAAATCTTCGACATAGTGTTAAGAACTTGATAAATGACTTAGTGTTAAGGAAAATCAAGGTTAATATGTGAATCTATGGAGCTTATATTATTTCTATATACAGATGGTGGCCGGGAGAGGTGTGTCATCCACGTAATGTACCTCTAAACATACAGGAGAAAGCTCACCAGGTCGGGGAATTCCCCGTACATTTTCTAGGATCTCATGAATTTTTCTGGTTACATCAGGGAAGGTAAGGCTGATTTCTAGGTGATAGAACTTAATATTGTAATATATATCTTCTGAACAATTAATTAGTGATGAAAAATTTTTTTGCATACATTTATTTTATGGCCGTAGTGATGAAGTTAAAGTGGCTGAATTCAAAGCACATTGACCTCACTTATAGGGGTTTTGAATGTCATCAGGGACATAGAATTCTTTCATGTGAACTAGTTTCTCAGCTAGCATATGAGCGTTGGTTAGTGGTTTTATGCAGGTCCAACTGTTGCCTGAAGGTAATCCTCATGATGCACTTGAGGTCTTCCTGAATGGGTGAAGCTGGAAAGTAGCCTTATGCCCTACACAATGTCAGTGTGTCTATAAAACCTTTGGAGAAAAAAGTACTTCTATTATGTTTAAGAAAATGTTACCTATGGGTAACTTGAAGAATTCGTGTTTAGGTGTGTCTCTGTAAATAACAATGTCTATTCTAGGAAAATGTTTGTGCAGACTAATTCTCTGATGCATGAAAAGTAGGACTTGTTAACAGAATATTTCCAATGTAAATCTCTGTTTAGATGAGGCAACTAGGTGTAAATAATTTCTTCTAAGGGCAACTCTTTCTTGTCTATCAAACTATTGCCATATAATGCCTGCAGTAGAGTCTTCTGATTGGTGGGGCGTCCGTGGCCGTGTGGTTAAGGTAGTTGACTTCAAACCACTTGCCCCTCACCGCTGTGGGTTCGAATCCCGACAGGGACTTAGGATTCTTTCATGTGAGGAAGCTATCCAGCTAGCTTACGGAACGTCGGTGGTTCTACTCAGGTGCCCGTTCGTGCCTGAAATAATGCACGGAAGGGCACCTGAGGTCTTCCTCCACCAGTAAAGCTGGAACGTCGCGATATGACCTATACTGTGTTGATGTGTCGTAAAACCCAAAACAAACAAACTTCTGATTGGTTGATTTTTATATGTTTAAGAATACTTTTTGTGCAAATGTTTGTACTTTTCAAACAAAATTTTAAGAACTACGGTCATTGAGAGCTTTTTGGCATGTAATTGTGGTTCAATGTTAAATGATACCAGACATTATTTTCTGAATGAAAATATAAGACTTTGTGATGCAAAAATTTGACTTAATGTAACTTGTGTATCCAGTAATAGATGATATATTTTGTTTATATTTACAGAGTGTTTTCATTCCAAGATGGTGATAAAGGCAATGGTGGATCATCGTCTAATAAAGGTCTAGCTAAACATTTTGCAAAAGGTATGTCTGGAAAAGATAGTTAAATTATCACTTTTATTTTTAGTTTCACGCTGAATATTTTTGGCCAAATATTCATAGGTCTCTGAAAGAGACTCATTTGCCACTTGCTGCTCTATGTTGGGAGCTGTGTTTGATTTCATGATTAAGATATTTGTTGGTACACATAACAAGGTTTAAAGCATGGAAACAACTTGACCAGCTTTTCCTGTATTGTGTGGATGATTTTTTAATAATTTCACTTGCTTAATCACTTAGGATGAATTGCATTTAGCTCTTTGTTATTGAATGGCTCCCAGTGAAAAAATATGTGCCACACCAATGTCTTGCAGGGGTTGTCTGTACACAGAAGACACTACTTTTTGAGCTAGTAATGTTTGTTGTTATATCCTTGTAGGCGAACAGAGTGTCATTTCTGAAACATTCACAATTGAAACCAACACTTTGTCATTATTGACTTTGTATATTATAGATAGAATTTAAATAACAATATATTCTTGACATCCTACTGATGTTTTCTGTTTAACATTTTACATGTAATATGTGAACAACATATATTTACTTATCTTAAATTTAATGTAATTATTGTGTACTCACCAAATGTTTTTGTATTGTACATTTATGTGTCGTACATTTATGTGTCAAGGGCCAGTGGCCTATATCACAAATAAATGAGTTGAGTTTAGTTGACTTTATATGCTTCTTGCATTCATAAAATAAAAAAACATTTGTTAAAGTCTGTTCAAACCTTAAAAAAATATGTAAAATTAAAATCTCAGAGGTAAAATGTGTTTACATCTTATCCTATATTAGGTTTAAAGGAGGCTGCAGAAGCATTTAAAGTATGGAAAGAATTCAGGGAGAATAAAGAGCAGCTAGAACTTGCCAAGGAGAGCAAAAAACCTGCCCCATTTAAAATGGTTAAGGTAAGAAATGTCTATTGTAAAATATATGAAAAGCTTTTGTTTAAAATTTAATGCAAAGATATGTAGCTCGATATTTTCAAAGAAAAGTGAGGTTATTGTGCTTAGGCATTTGCCTTTAACTTTGTGTAGGTTGTGCATGTAACTTTATATCTTGTAAACCACTCTAGATATTTTCTTGAAACTTAAATGTTTTCATGTAGTTATTATTGTAGGTAACTACTGAAGACCTTCCATTGATTATCTATGAATTAATTCCTCTTAATTAAAGTTAATAATACCTGCATTGTTTTACTATTAAGCTCTGAGAATCAACAAAGCACTGTTCAACTAGCAGATATATTTAATTTTACACATCTAATTGATGGCTATTAGTCATGATTTAGTTTGGCAACATTTCAGTGTGGCCAATTGGTAAATGTGTCACACTAGTAATAACTAAAAGTTTTCTTGTTACGGTTCAGATCAGTTGGGGACAAGCTGTTGATTCATTGAGCATCAAATTTTACACTCATTGCTTAGTACCAGTTGATTCCAGGAATGGATTTGAGTGTGTCTGTCAGCTTACAGCAGCCAACGCAATGAATGTAAAATAAATTCTGTATAAACATCTTGTGCAATTATGAACTGACCTTAGTGACTATTTTGCTAGTCAAGTTTTGAAAAATTCTTGTTTATGAAATTGTTTATAACTTTTAGACAAATGTGCCATTGGGAAGTGTCGTCATCAAGAAAGCTGATCTCTCCGAGTTACCAAGGTGTGATTGTAAAGCTGACCAAGAAAATCCATGTGGGCGTGATTCCGAGTGCCTCAACGCCATGATGATGTACGAGTGTCATCCAGCACTGTGTCCTGCCGGTGATAACTGTCAGAACCAGTTCTTCACAAAGCGGTTATATCCATCACAGCAGCCGTACAAGACAGAGGGCCGTGGATGGGGATTAAAGGCGACTGTTGATATAAAAAAAGTGTGTTTATTTACTTTCAAACATTTTTGTTATATCTCTTGGTTAGTCGATCTTACCTGCTAGTAATGTTTTGCAAACTCACATTTTCTGTCTTTAAATTTTAGAATGTTACTTTTAAATGGAACAGTGAACAGCAAACTTGAGGTAACTTTGTCTAGCATTGAGATACCATCGCCAAGTGGTGAAGGTTACTGACAGTATATCACTTGGCCATGTTACAATGGTTATGAGTCTGTCTAATGTCACAGAGATTGAAGTTTTCATGTAAAGAAGCTATTTAGCGACCACAAGTAAAGCTGGTTCTTTATTTTCCTTGGTTGTGCCTGAAATAATGGTGAGATGTGGGCCTGAGATTCTCAGATGGGCTGTCCCAGGTAGTGTAAGAAAATTGCTTAATGACATTAAACAATTAGCAATGTTCATGTGAAAATTGTTTTTCGTAATGCTGATATTATACTTTATATAATATCTATTACAGGGTCAGTTTGTGAACGAGTATGTTGGCGACCTGATTGATGAGGAAGAATGTAAGAGACGTTTAGAAAAGGCTCATGAGGATGATATTCACAATTTCTACATGATGACACTTGATATGGACAGGTATATTGTTGATTGAAATCTAATTAAAAATTCAGTGTCATTTGGTTCAAATTGTGCATATTTTCCAAATGCATGGTGTTGAAATTCATATATGGTCAAATTAATGAACAATAGTTTCGCATAAACTTGAATAATTTAACAGCAATTGTGAAAATGATTCAAATGCTGTTACTAGAGCAATAAATATCTACATTGGTTTCATAAAGCAATTTATATATATCACTTTTCTGTATGGCAAAATAATGTCTTGGACACTTCACTGGAAATACAAGGTTGTTGTCTCCTATCAGGATGTGTTTTTTGTGTCCTTTCCTTGTTTTTGCTTAACTTCTGTTTGTATGTTTCATGTAAGATAGTTCATATGTAATGGATGAAACATATTTAAAGATATTCATAACAGCTGTGACTTGAATTGATTTTATTATTCTTTGTGAGTAAATTATCTTCATCAGCTTTCAACATAAATTGTTAAAAACATCTGGTGTAGAAAAAATTGCACAAAGTGGTTGTGTAGAGCAAAGTTACAGGTTTCCTTTGTATTAGTATCTTATTTTTTGACTAATTCTTAAGTAAAAAATGTGATTGTGTTGTACAAGTGGTTTTGTAATCTTGTTTGATGATAATTACTGGAGCGGTATTATAATGATAATTGTACTGTAATATGTTAAGTGATTACATTGTAAGAGCATTTTAAAGATATTTTTATATACGTGTACATGCATATCCGCAAAAAATAGGCAATTTACTGGGATATAAATATTGATTTCTACAGTTTATGAAAAGAATTTTGTGACTTCACTATATGGAATTTGGGAATCGATACATTTTATTTGTTAAACTACCCAAAGAAAGTTATATTTATGGAAAGTGATAGAATTCAGCAAAAATTTCCAACTGTATATGTGAAATTTTGACTAAGGAAGAGTTTATTCATTATTGTGTATGTTGCAATCATTTTTTTTTTTTTCTGGGATTCCAATTGAACATGTTTTTGTTATTTTCAGGATAATTGATGCGGGCCCAAAGGGGGTAACTGTAAAGGGTTTTATGAACCCACAGTTCCCGATCCTAACCTTGGACCCCCGGGAATTTGGAAGGGTTAACGGGGGATTTAGAGTCGGTCTTTTTTTGCCTAAAGGAAAATCAAACCCGGGTTAAATAAAAAAGTTTTAAATTTTTTGGCCCGAAATTATCGGTTTTTTTTGAATTTAAAAAAAAATTAGGGGAAATTTATCATCCGCGTAAGTAAATATGGAGAGCATTGGATTTGTGATCCAGGAGTTGCTCGTTTGATTCCTTTGCGAGACATATGAGCCGTGTCATGACAAAACCAACATAATGGATTTGCGACAATCATGGATCCAGACCAGCCTGCGCGACCGCGCACTCTGATCGGGATCCATGCTGTTCGCTTACAGACTCTATAACAAGTAAATAAACTGATAGCGAACAGCATGGATCCTGATCAGACTGCGCAGATGCGCAGGCTGGTCTGGATCCATGCTGGTCGCAAACCCATTATGTTGGTTTTGTCATGACGCGGCTCATATTTCACCAAGATGATTGATCTCGATTATTTAGTCAAATAGTCATTTGTCTCTCATCGCTGATTCAGAAATCATATGGCATAAGTAGTCTGTAATTTGTTGAGGAAATGGTTATTATAAGTTATCCAGAAAAGCTGGTCGGATCAACTAACAACCCAGATATGACGGCTTGAACCACAACACTATATATGCCCAGGTAATAGTGTAGATTTTCCACTTGTTGCTCCATTCTGGTTGGTTCCAGGAACCGATTCGAGAGTGTGTCTATAAGCTTACTACAAAAACTAAAAAAATTCTACATAAACGAAAAAAGTTCTTGTATGATATTCATATGATAAAATGTATTGATATTGATTATTATACTACAGGTGATGAGTTGACTTTCAATTACAACTTTGATTGCCTTGGTAACGAACAGACTAAGTGTGGGTGTGGCTCAGAAAACTGCAGTGGCTATCTTGGTGTCAGACCTAAAGTAAGTCGAAACACATTCTATTTGTAAATCTTAACCCTTGAAAAAGTGTGCATCTCCAGAGACCGGATACTGGCAAGAATATTTTATTTACTAAATAGCAGTTGTGGAAGAATCTCTGGTCTTTTTAGACTGAAGAAGTAAGAGATAGTTTGGTTAATTCAGTATGATATGTTAATCTTTTCATACTTTGCCTTACTGAATAAACTGAATGGACTTTTGTTTTTTACAGTCCATAGTGTATGAAAATTTTGAAGTGGGTTAGCCAGTAGTATAGAGTCTGGTTAAACTACATGGATGGGCAGGCTGCCTTGTCTCTATACTGGTGGTGAATACCTTTAAAGGTTCATTTTCAGCACTATAATCGTTCAGAGATATTCAAAGAATATTGATTAAGGATTCAGAGATAGACAGTTATTTAAAGGGATAGACAGTAAGTTTGAGGAATTAGGTAACGATCCTTTATTTTCTACAGTCTCAACATGCTGCCATGGCTGAATTGAAGAGAAAGGAGACTAAGAAGGGAGATAAGCAGAAGAAAAAGAAGAAACCGGTGGTTAAAAGGAAACATGATGACGATTGTTTCCGGTGTGGCGAGGGCGGGGAATTGGTACTGTGTGACAGAACTAGCTGCCCTAAGAGCTATCATCTCAGATGTCTCAACCTCTGCAAACCTCCACATGGTTAGTGAATGTTTTCTTGTAAACCTATATATTCAGAGAGATTCCCTGTAGTTCTGGTGTTTGACCTGGCCCATATATAGGGGAAGGGGAATTTTCCGCTGTAAAAATTGATCTGGGACCTAAAGTCCAATGGTTCTTTGTCTTTCACTACCGAAAAAAAAAAAATCATGGGGGATAAGTAGGCGGTCACTTGCAGAGAAATTGGTAGTTACTAGTAAAAGTTATACAGGAAAGTTTTGGTAAATTGGGGAAATTGACACAAGTTTTTGACCAGATATTTTGTTAAAATGAGTGTGTATAACTTTTAAAACCCAAATTTTAAACCTTCCCCTGTTTAAAAATTTTAAAAGTACATACCATTAAAAGTACTAAAGAACAATGAGCATTTTTGGGCGAAAGGGAAAAGAACATTCTGGGGGGGGTTTCTTTTTTAAAAAAAAAAAGGGTTTATTTCTTTTCTTTTTAAAAATAGAAAGGAAATTATCTACCCAAAATGCTTTTTGTAAAAGAAATATTTTTTACTCTTGATGTTTTGGATTTTCCCCAAAAAAATTTAAAAGTTGCAGAGATGGGAAATTCTCATCACTATAAAAAACCTTTTTAAAAAGACGAATTTTTGGGAAATTTAAAACCCTTTTTCGGGAAAAAGGGACTGTCCATGGCACCATTGTGATGAATGCGGTAAACCGGCTACCAAGAAATGCGTCGAGTGCCCTAACTCGTTCTGTAGCACTCATGCTGATGATACGAAGGTGCGATTTTTTGATAATAAAGTCTACTGTATAGAGCATGAAGATCTCCTCGACACTCTCGAGGAATCTCAGTCACAAACTTCTGCCGCATCAGATGACAATGGTGAGCCTGCCGGTGACGCGGATGCAACTGAAAAGGTAACAAATGGAAAAGATAACGATGCGACAGTAAAAGGGAAGAGTAAAGACGAGACATTGCCACCGAAGAAACGTGGACCAAAACCTCAGTCAGAAACCACAGACAAACCAACCAATGGAACAGCAGCAAAAGTTTCGCGTGGAAGGAAAAGTTCGGTGAAAGGGGAACCAGGAACAAAGGGATCCGTCTCGGACGATCCATTAGCTGTTGCGCCAATGTTTGATGATGATGAGGAGGAAGAATTCGGACTTGTTATTGATATTCCGAACTTTTGATGCACAATGATCAAGTTTCCATTATTTTAAGTTGTCATGTCTCGTTTGATTATTTACATTAAAATTCATTTATTCATTGGGGGGTATTTTTAATGTTGCTTTTTTTTCTCATATTTTATTTGTTTAGATGTTGGAATATTGAATGTTTGCTACACAATTATTCATTAAACTTGTATAGAAATTTATTTTCTGGTTGAAAGAATGAATTCATTGACATAAAATTGTTAGATAATGACAGAGAAGTGTTTTAGATGGAGTGGAAGAATTGGGCTAAGTTTGTCAAGTATTTAGAGATATGCTTAGTTCATTTAAGGTCATGGGATAATAGTCTAAGTTCATTGGTGGTTAAAAAGATTGCAATGTTCATTTGACGTGAGAACAGCCATAGTTCAGTTTTGGCTAGAGATGTTCTTTTTAGGAGCAGGGAGTTTATTGGTTCATTGGGATTTTGGAGATGGCCAATGTTTATTTGGTGGATGAGAGTAATAAGAAAAGTTCATTAAGGTGTGAGAGATGAGGTATGAGAAGTGTAGAGTTCATCCTGGGTCTGTGAGAGATGGCCCAAGTTTATTTGGGGTAAGACGGTGGGAAGTGTTCATATGTTGACCCGAGTTCTCTTAGGTTTTAAGAGAATTGGGAAGAGTTCATCTGCATTTTTTTGAAATTCTTAAATTGTGCTTATTGGCAAACATGGGTTATGCATTTTTAGCACGTCTCTTTGGAAGAAAAAATCAGGTTATTATGATCACAACGTTGTTGTCGTTACGCAAAAAACTTTAATGTCGCTCATTTTTTAAATATTTCAGAATTTATAAACGTGAAAATTGGCATACTTGCTTATCATGACAATGTGCAGTTGATAGAAAAGGGGTATAATACTACTGTATTTTTGGAGTTATGCCCCATTTTAACATGGAAATTTTTGTCAAAATTGGTAATTGATAGTCTTTGCCTTTAATAGATGAGCGTCAACACTGCATGTGGTGTTCTTGGGGTGTTTTGTTTTTTATCTTACAGAATTAGAGTTCCTATTAGTCAGTTTAGTAAGTTTTTTTATGTTTGCATAAAATTTTTAATCCTCGAATGGTGTCACACCGAGCATTTATTTTTATGCATGTTCAATTTACAATTTTTCAATGAAGTAGGGATGGTTAAATTCATAATGTTTTTGTTGGTTTAATTACCCCCCTAAAAATGTTTCCAAATGATTTTTTTCCCTATTTGTGCACATCACCGGCACACCGGGGCAGGGGATCTTATCTTGAAAATCATGTATGAAATAGTTTTATAATATATACTGAGAGATTTTTACAGTTCAAAACTTACACCAATTTTTTACTTTGTTTTGTAAAGACATGTATTTAAAGTCCAGTATTTAATGCAGCTATTATTTATAATGGTATTTATGTGTATAACTCACCAATATTATAGAAAAGAATAAATGTGTATACATGTATATGTAAGATATGATTGTCACCTTAGTGCAGCAACGACTTAACTCCTTAATATAATTCAATAGGAGTTAAACCGTTACTGCACTAATGTGAAGAAATTAATTAAACCAATGTCATTATAAATATTTTTACTTTTTTTATGTAAATTAAACACCATATTTTTATCGCACTGAATGATGCAGTAGAAGAAAAGAGTAAGTTATGACAATGAAGTATTGTTAATTGACATGTTCTGTAAATGGTCGAAACATCGTAAATGATGAATTGTGGAAATTTCATAAAAATTGTAAAAAATGATATATAGCAGGGTTTTTAAAAAAGGTAAAATGATTTATTTAAAAATATCGATAATAGCAAATTAATGTATTTTGCTATTCAAAATGGTCAAATGATAAGTTTTCAAAAATGGTGGAATAATGTACTTTGGAGTTTTTAGAATAGTGAAAATGATGTACTGCAGTGTTTCAAAAATAGTCAAATCTACTGAGAAATGTTTACAAATATTAGAAAAATGTTTTTTTTAGATTACGAAGGCATTGTTGCAACATTGTCGTAACTTATTCTTGAAATTGAAATGCATTAGTGACGTATTTAACCTTGGCATATAAGTGCATTGGAATAATTTATTATTTTTCCTATTGGATACCTTATTGAAATAAACTTTTTCTAAAGTTCAATAATTTTAAGGTTTTGATAAAGATAGGGGAAAAAAGGCAATACCTTTTCTGCCCAGATATACATGTGCTAATTTTTCATTTATTTAAATAAACATTTAAAAAATAAAGAAGAATTGAAAAGGGAGGATGAGACTGAAGCGCTTGAAATAATGGCTTATAGTCTGCAAATAATGAAAGAATTTCGAGTGTGAAAATCTTTTTTCCTTACTAGCTACCAAGAACAAATATTTCTTTACAACTGATGATTATTTGGGATGGAGTTTTTCAATTGTCAATATGAAGTTTGCTTAATTGTTATTTATTGGGCTCTCTGCATAATTTTTAAAGATCTTGAAATTATTTCTCATAAACATAAATGTTAATTTTTCATAAATCTACATCAATGTTGACATTTCATAGATCAATATAATTGATTCTAAATTAGTCATATATTCGTCACCAAAATTCATCTCTTAATGTTAAATTCATTTTCTGTATGTTTTATTCATTATTCCTTTTTCAATGTAACAGTATTTTGCATGTAAATTATTTTCTGTCTGGAAAAAAAAAGTTTTAAATTTTTAATTGTATATAAAGGAGGAAATTTTGAGAAATCATGATAGTAAGTGTTCATTCAATGTTGGACATATTTTCTCATATCATTTGCATATTCATGGGATATGTTTTTAAACTTGCACAATTTTACGGGCATGAACATTGTTACTATGTAGATTGGAAAATATTTGATTGTACAGAATAAAAAAAAAACATTATTGAAACTTGTTCTTTTTCTTTTCAATTTATACTGTATAGCAGGTGATCATTGGTGCGAGTTATTTAACCCTTACCACCCTATATATATCTTAAATGGACTTGTCTGTCTTTCAATCCAGGCAAAACCATTCATCATCTTTAGGGAAAAGTTTAAGAATATGTACAGAACAGTGCACAAAATGATCAGAACTTTTAATATGAAATAATTACCGATAATGAGATGATGTGCAGAACACTGGTATGGGCTTCCTGTGATAAAAATTTGCCTTGTCCCAGGGATATCTTGATTATTATGGAAACTACAATAATGTTTAGCATGTACCAACTAAATGACCTTTAAAAAGACTATAGAAATGAAGAAATACAACATGTCGACAGCAGTGCAGGTTGAGTCGTATCATAATCTACAGGGTTCAGTTCTAACAAACCTTCATAAAGTCTTACAAAACTGGTATGACTCATGCCCCTTGGGTCAATATTAGCCTTTCCCCAGGGGTCACTTGATATATATATATACTTGCATAGGAAAAACACATCGGAGACTTACTGTGTGAAACTACAATGCTCGGAGCTTGTACATTTGGCATGTAACATCACAGGACGACTGGTATTTATAATTCCCCATTCGCCAGTATTAGTTTGACCCTTGGGGTCACTTAGATGATACAGTCTTAAATGTAATGCCAAGAGTTTAAATATTTGTAATGTAGGATTGCCTTGCTGACCTACAAAATTGATGTAAAACATTTCCCTGGGGTCAATATTGGCCAAACCCCCAGGGGTCGCATATATAGACTTGTATAGCCTATAATAGGAATTTTTTTAGTCTTATTGTGTGAAACTGTGAAACTACAATGCCCAGAACATAGATATTTGGCATGTATGGGCCTACACAAAACTGATAATTCTTAATCATGCACCTTGTACTAAGTTAAATTATACAGACCTATATGGGAAAAAAACCCAAATATTTATTGTGTGAAACTACAATGTCAAGAGCTAAAACATTTAGCATGTTGCATAAAACTGATATTAATCATGCCCCTTGGAGATATAAAAATTTGAAGTTGGTCAGCCAACAGTATCGAGTCTGGTCAAACTGCAAAGATAAGTTCTATCTCTTAAAGTGTGTAATATTGCTCATGTCCTACTGTAAATGGTATGAAATCAAAATAGAAAGTCAGGATTAAAAAGTATCAATTTTAATTCTGTAATTCATTTACTTGATACAAATGTAGCACATTTCATTCTTAATTCTATCACTCGAAATAAATGACAAATCTTCACCAGCTCAAACATAATAATACAAAATACATACACTAATTCAAGATCAGTAAAACTTTACCTTGAAAGTTAAAGAGACTCCACTCAGGTTTTTTAACTTGATCAAACATGAAATATATTTTCAAGATATGGATACAATTTCATGTAGATCAGAACCAATATTGTGTGTGCAAAGTTTTCCGATCATTCCCACATCTGGTTTCTCCAGAATAATCTTTTTTATTGTGTCGTAAATTCACTCGTAAATGAAAAGCTTTGCAACGTTTTGCTAAGAATCACACAAAAAAAATGATATAGAATTTATTTCTAAGTCTATTTCTTTACCATCTTTTGAAGATATTTCCATTTTAAGGGCTTCTCTTGAGCTATGCAAGAATTTCAAAATTTTAATTTTTAGACTTTTTGACCTCAGTGGAGCTCCTTTAACATAAACAACTTGCCACTTAAAACTACAAAAGACCAAGGACATGTAATGTGTTGCAACACTACTTCATGTAAATTCTTTTTGTAGAAATTTTAATTGTTGGATTATAATTTTAACTATAACAAAATACTGAGCATAGTCTGGGCTTTCATAAATGAACCATATATATGTACTAAAAAGAAAAAAACAATTAGCACAGGGCAGACAATTAGTTATTTATATACAAATAAAAAACATTACATTACAAATTTAAATCACAGAATTTTCAGTTTTACATGAAACAAAAAGGGTAACATATTTTTATGAATAAATAAAGGAAAATAAATACAAGTATATGGATTTAGCTAGAAAGAAAGAAAAATCCAATTTAATTGTAAATTCATCAAAGTGATATCATCAAAATTTCTTTTTATATTTTAAATACATGTAGTTTAAATGCACACCCCCAAAAAATCAATTGATCAGGTGGCATAATTATTGTTTGCATGTCTGCCCTTCTGCAGACAACTTTAACCTTGACCATAACTTCTAAAATTTTTCTTGCTATAGCCTTCATAGATGGTCACAATATACTTCTGGGAGCCGTGTATCATTGGTCACGTCCAATGGGTACTGTTTTATCATGTTTTAGCAATGGTCATTACACTCGTACCAAAGACTTAGTTGAACCACTGATCTTACGTCCACATCGTGTTTTATCAAAATGGTCACAGCAAGTATGTTGTAAACTTGTGTCGTAACTCTACAACGACTTAAGTACAATTATTAGTTATTTTTATTTTAAAAATGGCGGCCATTAAAGCTGCTAGACATGTACACCAGAGATATGATAACTTCATTTTTGACATAATGAAACAACCTTGACCTTCACTGTCGCATCTTCAAAAGAAACCAAAGAAATTCACGCTTCACCAGCTGAATTTTTGTAAAACATTCAAATTGATTAGAATTTGGAATAGTCCATTCAAAGTTTACATGATTTCAATATGTTACAAGAAATGACCTCCCCAAAGTAAGTGTGTTTGTTTGTTTCATTTTACGCCTTTTCCCTACAGTATTTCAGTCATATAGGCGGTTAGTTTTCTAACCATCGTTCCTGGAGAGATACACCAGTACTAGACTACCTTCCTTCGTGCTAAACTACCAAAGCATCTCCCGGGGATCAAAGCCATGCCAGAGAGGAAACTGAATTAGAAGTCATCGACTCTTACCCCTCGACCACGGAGGCGTTACCCAAAGTAAGAAAGCCTGGTCATAATGCACAGAGCTGCATGCTGACATAGCCCAAAACCAGCAGCAAACGTAAGTCACTTTTTGTTCCAGCAGGTAAAAGACTGCAAGTATTAGACAAACTGAAAGAGAAGACTGGTTATACGAATTTCTGTGCTACATTAACTAGTGAAAAAAGCCCAAGACAAAAATGTGTTTGAAAGACAAATGGCTTATCTGTGAAATACATGTTATTGATATTAATGTGTGTTGTCATATCACATGATATCAAATGAAAAAGAAAAAAAAAAAAAAAAAAAAAAAAACCTACACCAACACAAAACTTCTTGCTTTTAACAGCAAAGAGTCTATATCTAATTCAACAATATTGAAATTCTGTATTTAGAATGCAAAACATAAATGAATTTAATCAAAATAAGACCATCAAACAAAAATGACCTTCCCCTTTTAAACACTTTACCACCTGAACTCTTTATTTCTGAATAAAAATAAATCTGTATCTATTCCAAATTCCACTCTATAAATTCAACTAATCCAGCTAACTGTTACCATATCTATAGCTGATTTATCTCTGTAACATAAGTAACTACAAATATTTACCAATACTTTGAATCAATAACAAAATTTTCTATTTCTTAAAGACTTAAAAGAGAAACCAGTCTTGTTTAAGAACTGTCTTCTTAATAGAAGCACATACATGTACACTGATGATACATGTACACTGGTTTATAAAGTCTAAATTCATCTATAATATCATTCAATTGTTACAGTTGCAGGTCTCCAGATGAGCCAAAATATTTCAAGAAAATCAAACTTGTTACATATTATGTGCGTTTATAACTGCTTTTGCAATATTTATCACCATATTTCTACTGTGTGACCAACATAATCAAGGCTATTTTTGTCAATTTTAACCTCTTTTAAAAGTTTGAAACATTCCGCTCTGTGTCTTTTGACCACTTCAAACATTAAACATTTAAGCCAGTGACTTCTGAGAGCTTGAAATATTCAACATATAAGCTCAATCAGTCATTGACTTTTAGAGTTTGAATCATTCAAAAAATTAGCTCAGTGTTTTCTAGGTGGTTGAAATATTCAAAATATTAGCTAAGTGTCTTTTAAAAGTTTGAAACACTCAACAAGAGCGATCAGTAATCACATGTGTCGCCTCATGATGGCCAATTTCATGTTGGGACAAATTTTGTGACAGACAGACAGACAGACAGACGGACAGTGCACAACTAGACTTGGTACTGATCATTCCTGTAAAGTTTGGATAAAATTGCACCAGTAGTTTATGAGGAGTAGTCCGGACAAGCTTTTGCGTATCTGGCAACACACAGAAAAAAAGACCTTTTTATCAAAGGGCCATAACTCGGCCAAAAATCATTCAACCGGAAAACCCGTGCAATATGCGCAAGGACTTGAGCTACAGATCAATCCTGTAAAGTTTCATTGAAATTGCATTAGTGGTATAAGAGAAGTAGTCCGGACAAACTTTAAAATTAAAAATTATTAAAGGGCCATAACTCTGACAAAAATCATTGAACCAGAAAATGCTGACAATATGCACAACTAGACTTGGTACTGATCATTCCTGTAAAGTTTGCATGAAATTGCACCTGTAGTTCATGAGGAGTAGTCCGGACAAGCTTTTGTGTATCTGGCAACACACAGAAAAAAACACCTTTTTGTCAAAGGGCCATAACTCGGCCAAAAATCATTCAACCGGAAAACCCGTGCAATATGCGCAAGGACTTGAGCTACAGATCAATCCTGTATAGTTTCATTGAAATTGCATTAGTGGTATAAGAGAAGTAGTCCGGACAAACTTTAAAAATAAAAATTATTAAAGGGCCATAACTCTGACAAAAATCACTGAACCTGAAAATGCTGACAATATGCACAACTAGACTTGGTACTGATCATTCCTGTAAAGTTTGGATGAAATTGCACCAGTAGTTTATGAGCAGTAGTCCGGACAAGTTTTGTGACGGACGGACAGACGGACGGACGGACAGACAGACAGACAGACGGACAGACAGACGACGGAGAAGTGATCCCTATATGTCGCCACTACTCCGTAGAGGCGACACAACAAATAAGCACCGTGTCTTTAAGTCATTCAAGGTTTTTTTGCTCAGTGTCTTCTAAGTGGTTGAAATTCAACGTTTCAGCTCAGTGTTTCCTGACAGCTTGAAACATTCTTCAACATAACAGCTCAGTTTCCTCTAAAAGCTTAAAAATATTCTTCAATATTTTAGCTCAGAGTCTTTTAAGCGCTTGAATCATTCTGCAACATACTCTTTCTATATCCTCTTACAGCTTGAAGCTCAAACTTATTCTTCCTTGCGTATTTTGTTCTTCGTGTCATCAGTAAGAACTTGGTAAACAAACATATTTACTGAATGTCTATCATGAGCTTGATACTCGGGATTTTTCTTCTTGCATATTTTATTCCTCAATGCATACATAAGTCCACAAGTTACCTTTGTTCTTTCAATATAATACTGAAACACAATTATTCATTATATTTCTATGGCTCTTCATCCATTGCACAATTCCCGTACTCCCAGATATTTTCTCTATTTTGCCTCTCCTGACGTTTCTTGGCTGAAATTAAACAAATAGTCTCAATAAATAATCATTTCTTCTCTACCAATATCATAAAAGTTTTATTTCAATGTTAAAGTGACACTATGCCTATCCAATAGTGGCAGTGTGGTCGAGTGGTTGTAATCTAAGGAGATTACTGTACGCATGGGTTCAAACCCTGTCAGGGTCAAGTTGTTGTTTCCTTGAGCAAGAAACTTGACATAAATTGCTTAGTAGTGGTTGGTTCAAGGAAAGATTCGAGAGTGTTTCAATAAGCATATAGCTTCCAACACAATCAAACTAAAAAAAAATTGTATAACCTAAGTGTAAATAAGGTAAAAGTCAAAATAAGTTTTCATTTTGCTAAAATTTGTTTCCAATTTCATATTCCACGTTTAATGAATATTCAAAAACACATGAGAGTATTTAACAAACCTTTGGCTTCTTTAAGTTGCTTTCTCTCCATTTCACGCTTCTCCTTGGATACTCCTGTTGCTAGGCCGAGAGCACCTGCTACTAGACGTCTTGCTGCCATTGCTGAAGTCTCAGGCCGAGGTTTATATGGTTGTAAAAATTCTAAAATTACATTTACCGGTAATTTACATTGTATATTATGCTATAAATGGATCATACATGTATATTAAACAAGAAGTACAGGTCTCAATGATACAAGCTATCTCAAATCTCAGGATTTTCATTAGTCAGTGTACATTCGTTGGCATTTTTTAACAGATCAAATACTTTAGATTTGAGTTTGAATTTAAAGATTTTCTTTATAACCTCAGACCCTGGTTACTGGTATTTAAGGAAATTACAAAATAAGCTGTGAGATAATGCTGGGCCAAGAGGTGAAAGTTGACTGAAATGCTATTAACATGTTTTCCCGTGACAGGTTAGAGATGTATTTCTTCACACGAGAGGGAGATATTTGGCAACAATACAGAAAATCTAGTTCTAATCAGTAGCTAGATCCAAATTTTGATCTATAAGTAATGGAATCTTAGGCATATAAGGTATTTCTCTACCATTCTGAAAGTTTACAATTATTTACAATATGACCTTAACATTTAAACATTTCATCTATAAACATGACAGACACAGCATCTGAGTAATGCTTCCAAAATATTTATTCTTTTGTAGCAATTATTTTCCACAAGTATGGAGCCAGGAAAACTTGCACAGCTGTACAGTAAAACCAGACTCTATAACATTTTCCACTAGCCTGATTGCATGATGCCAAACAAACAGAACAGTTGACAGTTTGATTTATAATCTTTTTATTTTGGTTCGGTTTCAAGTCCCTCTGAACCTGTCAAGGTCATATGGTAACTTTCAAGCTTTACAAGGCAGACGTTCCAAACAACTCACAACTAAGACCCTATAGACAGCTTCAAATCTTATCTGTTAAAGACAGGGTGAAATATTTTGGACAATGCTGACTGTATACCACTTACCAGTACATCTCTTGGCTTTATTCTGTGACTGTTTAGAGGCCTGTGATAGTGGACGTACCTTCAACAAAGGATGTACCAACTGTAATGCATCTTGAGCTGTAGGGAGGAAAAGACAGATATTTATTTCATTTTTCTATGTACTGCATTTAAAACAAACTGACAATCTCAAAGTATTTGTCTCAATAAAAAGAATACAGAAACTAATAATCACTGGGATTTCCAGATAAGTGACATCTAATGGTATTCAGTTAAAAAAAGAAACTTTTGAATTCTACTAAAATGACATGCCCTCAAAATGTTAACCCACATACACACATTCCTTATAACTTAAAGGTATGTGTTAAAGAATTTGTCATTGACATTTTGAACAGAAATAAAATGTATTTGATAAGTTCTGTTTACATTAACCATTTACAAAACTACAGCAAGGATATGTGGAGTAAAGGTGACCCCCGATATATTCAGGTAATGATCTATTCTATAAAGGCATCCATTGTACAAAGATTGAGTCATGAGTCAAATAAAGTTAAGTATTAAGTTCCCCTGCAGGCACCAAAAGTGATAAGCCTTTGCCACCAATATACAATTAGGCCAGTTTGAACATCCAACTTCAAATTTTCATCTTGATATCCCCAAAAATTGATAATGGGCAGTTCCAAAAGTGGAATCTTGATGAGTCCATTTAAGAAATTCAGCAGGTTAAGTTATTTTATTCACCAACATTTGAGTAGAGCTTATATAAGCATTATCAGAAATAGTACCTGCTATTGCACTACTAAATATTCCAAGGGCATGTGTATCATCTACCCATTTGAGATCAAACCCCCGAGACCTGAAAGTATAGAATCTAAGCTTATACAATCATAACTACATACTATATATAAAATATATTGATTCATAAAACATACGTTTGACTAATACATGTATGTAAATATTTCTCTTTAAAATAGTGTTCATGTATTATAATAACAATTAACACATAAACCGCGGCACATGAGTGTAATAAAGCCATTTAATAAAATTGATATAATGTATTACACTAGTGTAACAACTCTTTGACATGACATCATTTGCATTATATACATACATTTGTGTAAAAGCTCACTAATGTTGCACTATAGGCGCGTCAATAAAAAATGATTCTTTTAACAGTTAACCATTCTTATTTTAGATATGTGATAAATAGAATACTATATTCGTGTAGATTCAATACTAAATTTATTGAACTCTTTGAATAAAACAATAATATTCTCGCCAGAGGCTCGCATATGATTTTATTCAACTCACCCAATAAATTTAGTATTAAACCTACACTCATTCAATATCCTCTATATATTGAGTTTTTTTGACATGACAAGACTGGAAATATTTTTTCCGAGATTAATGTTATAGGTCAACACCAATAATTAGTGTGCAAAATTTCAGATAATCCGCTAATTCTGTTTTTCCAGAACAATTATTCAAATTGTGAAATATGATCCAAAATTGTAAAGTGTTGCAACACTTTTCCACTCAAATCAGGCTAAAACAGGACAAAATATTATTTTCAATCTACTATGAATATATTTCTTATTAATATCTTTTGCACATCTTTCTGTTTTAGGTACCCAAGTTGCTCTTTGTAAGGAATTCATATTCTATGTTTTTAGGTTTTTGGACCCCAGTTGAGTTCCTTTAACCCTAAACCTTCAGATTATATGCTATGGATTTGTCCATCTTTGAATCTGGAACAGTTTATTCAAAATTAATAGTATTTCAATATCAAAATTACGAAAATACATAAATGGAGAGCTACAAACAATATAGATTCATCATTGATCAGGTTGCCCAGATTTACATATAGCCAAGGCCCAATCACGTTCTGTTCCATTAGGTTAAGGGATTCAAGAAGGAATTAATCTCATCAGCAAAGAACTGCTATTTGGGAATTTGAATTTTTGACAATTTATATACAAAGACCAAAGTTGGGTTCTTGACCGTTGTACTGATTTATGCAGTGACAAGAAGGCAGCAAAAACAGGATAGTACTGGTGTAGTTTTGAGGAAATCTTGCAAGGTAATTGTGTGCCTGTAGGTTACTGATGTATTAACCCATTACCGCATGAGCATTTTGTGAAAAATGGCTGTTTTCATTGAAAAGTCTCCTGTTACAAGTTCAATTGCTAAAAAACTATAAAAACTGCTTCAATACTAATCAAACTTGGCATAAATGTTGACTGGACCATTGCCTTTGTAACAACATGCTCAGTCTTAAATTTCCTGTTACCATGGCAACAAGGGGACATATCAAAATTGCCAAAAATCACTATTTTGCGTTGATTTTTTCCATCAAAATTGATGTCAAAGTGCTGCAACTTCTCAATGGTTTGAGATAAGAGTCAAAGGCTTTTCAGCGTTGGTTACACGTTACCTTATGATCGACATGGGGTCATTTTCAGCCGCTCACAAGTTCAAAATTTTCTTGGCGATGAGGAGGGCTGGCACCCCCCTTCAAACCCCCTAACAGAAAGGGGCACATCCCCCTTCTGGCAACCCCCTAATGTATCTTTTGGATAGGGGGCGGTGCCGAAAAATGGTCCCTATTTAAACAACATTTCTCAAACAAAAGCAAGTGTTGGGAGCTTAAATAAGGCATTTTTTCACCATTTGAGGCAACACAAAGGGGGGGGGGGGTGAAAAAGGTGTAGAAAGGAGTATATATATCTGGTAATGGGTTAATAAACTGGTGATAAAACTGAAACAAAGACAATGTGTGTTGATTTTACTTACATAAAGGCCTGGAATGCTATAATTAGGTCTCTTGTAACAAAATCTACGGGGAAGTCATATATCTCTATAATATGTTCATATTCTGGAAAAGAAAAAAAATAATCAAACATACAAAAACATTACTTGCTATATTTAGAGATAGCAAAGTATTTAAACAAGATATTGTTGCAAGCATGTTCAATTATATATATTTAACATTAAAAATCCCTGTTGGCTTAGTTAACAGAATACATTGACTGAAATAAGATAGCATAATTCCCTTCCTGAAAAATTCCCCCTCCAATTGACAACCCAGACCAGACAATTCCACTCCTATCAATTTTACAGGACAAACAATTACCATTCAATTGTTGTTTTTGTTTTTTTCGCACAATCAAAATCAAATTTCAGACAATTTTATTTTATCAGGGCAGACAATACCTCTCCCTAGTATCTTGAACTGGTCAAGGAAAGTTCCCTGCCTGCACATCTATAACTGTCTGGGACTCTTTTAAGGTAAGCCAATGTTATATAGAGACAAACATGTATCTTAAATGATTTAGGGGTGTCAAGTGTATCAGTTTCAGGAATACATAAATAATATTTTGCAAATACATAAAAAAGTAAATCAGTCATCATTTCTTGTACATCACATTGGATTATTGGATTGCTCAAAATTTTCAAACAGAACAACTCATTCAACTAAAATCAGAAATATCTGCTTACGAGTAAAATCAAAATTAGATTTATCTTTTGGCTGATAGTCTAGATAGTTGATCTTCTTTGACTTCTGGATCTTCACTTTACCAACAGTCTTTGTTAACTGTAACAGAAAATTATGTGTAAATTGTACAATATAAATAGTACAGAATGGTCAAATTATGGTCAGAGACAAATTTTCGTACAATAAATGAATGACTGGCAAATGAAACAAGGGCATCGATGGTGTCTTGATTACAGGTTTTGTACCTATTGCACTTATCAGATCAAATTTTTGTACCCAGTATTTTACATTTGATAATAAATTAAACAAAAGACCAGCTACATGCAGTTTTTAATTGTTTTAGCTGAATATAGTCTTGTTAAAAAGATAGAAAAAAAAAACTAATAAAAATATTCAACTTCAAACCAACCAGTATTTATGTGTACAGATGAGCTAAAAAGGGCAATTTGTTCACAATATATAATGTAGGTTTTTTGACTGACTATTGAGCCACAAACATCAAACAGACCTCAGCAGTTTGCTCCTATTACTTACATGTAGCCGGTTAGTATATTTCTTATCCAACACATAGGTTGACAAATTTCTAATCTCAAGCAAACAATCTATTTTTATACCTCTTCCATTGCTGTCGGATCCAAACATTCACCATCATCATCAAACATAGCATCCCAGGAGTCTTCATCTACTTCCTCCTCTTTTGATTGGCTGCTATTATCAGTAACAGCGTCTGATTGGTCAACATTACTCACACCTTTTGATTTGTTTCCATCCTCAAACTCTTTCTCATCATCATCTGGCTGTTCTTCTAAGTTTCCAGACATTTCAATGTCTTCTTTATCAATTTCCTGTTTCCTCATCAAAGATTCACCACTACAAAAATAAAAGAAGAATAATAATAAAATGATAATATTAATGCACAGCTGTCAAAATATAAATATGCCGAAATACAACTTCTTATTCATAAAATTAATAAAAACATAAAATATACTTGTATACTATATATATACCTGATCAGAAACTTTTTGATTTGAATCACAACTCACTAACTTGCCAGTTATTTTACATTGAAAACTAACAAACATTTAAATCTATTAATGTGTTTGAATTTTGATCATGTACTACCTTAAGAATAAAGATAATATCTAACTTAATAATTATTAAATGTACTCACCAGGACAGAGTACAGTCCATTGCTTCAGCAGAATTTTCATTGTTTATTTCCACAGTATTTTCTTTAGTATTGTTTTCCTCTGTTAAATTTTCATCAGGAATTTCACAATCTTTAATTTGATGAATATCCTCAGTGTTGGCCCCATCTTTCATCACTTCATCACTATCAATGTTATCATCAGGTAGGTTTTCAGTTTCATCACCTACATATGATTCAATATTAGTATTCCTGTGACTGTCAGACTTTGGAAAGTTTTCACCATCATCTACTGAATTTCTTAATATAGCACTTTTTATATCATCACCATCTTCTTCAGAATCCTTCTTTTTTTCATATCCTTTAATATGACTGGTTTGGAAAGCGTTTCTTGAGAGCAAATATATTCTTCCCCATTTTCAATTTAGTCAAACTTCATCAGCCAAAATTTTTTTTACTTTATTCCTTTTTTTTTATCATTATAATTTTTATCGGAGCAACAAAAGAGATTTCACCATGTTTTTTTTGTTAAAACCCCCCAATGTTTCACTCTCGATTTTCTTTTAAAACTTTCCCTTTCTTTATTAACTCAGTAAGCAGTGCATAATTGTCCTGAGATTTTTGCAGTTTTTTTTAGTGTCTGAGCTAGAATGGCTAAAAAAACTGGGGTGATGGATTTTAATAATTAAATGAGATATTGGAAAACCCCTTTATAGACCGTTTTATCATTAAGCCTTTATCTTTTTCCCCAGGAAAATTATCATTTTCTCTGGGCAAGCAATAAAGTTTTTTAGCACAGCATGTATTTCCCCCGAAACATCTTTATATTTGAGGATTTTTTTTTAATCTACCACTGCATTATAATCTTTATTTACTTCTGGCCCTTTAAACACCCCCTCCCCTTTTTAATCAAAAACCCCTTTTTATACAGAGGCTCTTTTTCATTATATTGCTTTCATATTGCTGTACTTGTTCAAAATCCTTTTCTGATATTCGCCGGGAAAATTTTTTTGACCCCCTTTTATTTTACCTATTTTCTTAACATTTCCCCTATTTCCCAAACTTTCCTGTTAACATAGTATCTCTGAAAAGGGGGTGACTTTTAAAAGATAAACAGGGCTGCTTTTTTTTCGCTTTCTAACCGACCCCTGGGAAATACGTTCCCTCTCTTTTTTTTCTTCATAAAAAAAGAATAAAAAATAAAAACAATTTACATTTAAAGGGACTGCAAATTAAGTTATTTTTTAAATTTTTAAGGGAAGGAAAACCCAATCAGTGTTTTTTTAGAACAAAAAAACATGTGCTAAATTTCTACACTGAAGATAAACAGTAGATATAACATGAGCTATTGCTAGGAGACATGCTCAACTATTCTCAGTGTTTGATAGTAAAATAGGAACCTGGATAATATGAAATTTTATAGGTTCAAAAGGGCAATAATTCTGTCAAAATACATGGTAGAGTTATAGGCCTTGGAAAATTACTTTCTAATGCTCTAAAATAAGTGTGCAAAGTTTCAACCTATTCCCTTTTGTAGTTTTGGAGATACCAACTTGCATGCAAAAATTGAACCAAAGTGTGACAGCAATGCCTGTGTGACTTTTAAAATCTAATAGTCTGGCTAAAAATAACAGATCACTTATCTAAAGCTGTATATTTATCAAGTTAACAAAAAGCCATGTACATATACTAATAAATACCATTTATAAAATATAAACAAGCTACACATAGCTGTATATAAAACATCTTACTACTGTTAGAAGATTATGTTTGATAAATGGAGAAATCGCAGATGAAATCAGTGTGTGTTTCTAAATATCAATCATAAACAAGATCAACTTATGAATCACCTGTCTGACAGGAGTAACTCTCGGCATAACTTCTGAATGATCCGGGCTAGCTTGGTTCTCATGGCCATTCTGACCAGGCTGCTGACGTCTGGCCCGTGGAACGTACACCTGAACATCAGGACGACGATTTCTGGGTCTACAACAAAAATTGGACCCATGATAAAACAAATGACATAATTCAAAGAACTAATGAGCCGTGTCATGACAAAACCAACATAATGGTTTTGCGACCAGCATGGATCCAGACCAGCCTGCGCATCTGCGCAGTCTGATCAGGATCCATGCTGTTACCAACTCTATTACAAGTAGAGACACTGATAGTGAACAGCATGGATCCTGATCAGACTGAGTGGATCCATGCTGGTCGCAAACCCATTATGTTGGTTTTGTCATGACGCGGCTCAAATGGATAGTTTATCATGATCAACATTTAAAATTAAGACTTATCTAGTGAATGTGATTAAATATAAAATATATAACAAGAGCTGTCAGTGGGACAGCATGCCCAACTATTCATAGTGCTTGATAGTAAAACAAGCGCCTGGAAAATGTGAAATTTTTGTAAGTTCAGAAAGGGCCATAATTCTGTCAAAATCAATGTGACAGTTAAGGGACTTAGACAAAGACCTCCTATTATGCTCTTAAATAAGGGTATGAAGTATCAACCTATTCCTTTTAATAATTTTGGAAATACCAATCTGCAAGCAAAAACTTAACGGAAGTATGATGACAACACAGACACCAACACATGAGTGAAAACAATAGCTCTCCCTATTCTTCAAATAATCAAGCTAAAAACACCGTGACCTTTTTAGAGGCAAATTTGTGCCTCAGACACTAATATTTTTTTCCTTCATTAGAAAGGGCAAACGTGAGTAATATAATGTTTAAATAATGGTTTTAGAGCATGTTTCAATGCTTATTTGCCAAGGAGTCATTTTCTGGAAACTATAACAGGACATCAAATACAAAAAGTTTTTGAGAAACAACAATAAAATCATTTCAGTGGTATAATGAGCCTTTAATTAAATAAAATACTGGTAAATTATCACTAAGTCAAGGCAGAACAAAATCTTTACATAAATAAACTAATGAACAAATATTAATATAACCTTCTGTTGCTGTGTAAAATTTTATCTAAATCCAAGAATTCATCATAATCATTGGTAGTTTGTTGTGATTACCTCTCAGACTTTTTAACACTTGATGAGGAAGCATCATTTCCTGCTACAGGTGTTCTTTGTTCTTCAGTTCTCACTGGCCTACCAACTGGACTACTTCTGTCATCATTCTGTTGGCATGGTGACCTTGAACTGATAATGGCTCCCGGTCTAGTCTGTCTATCATTATAGGTAGGAGTCTGTCTGGTACCTAGCTCAGGACTATATCTGTCATGACTCCATCTGTCTCCATTATCTCCAGAACCTGCATAAAATATACAAGAGGACTATGATGTTTTCATAGGTTTATTAATTCTTATAGCCAATTACTACAATCAAATCCCTATTGTAGAAAAGAGGAATGACAGATAGAATGACAACAAATCCGAAGTTATTTCAGAATGTTTATGATTGTTGAAGATGGACCATGGACACTGGAGCTTCCATCCACCCATCTCAATAGTTCACATTGAACATTTGGTTCTGATGAACTAAAATCATAATCAATTATAACTTAACTAATATTTCAGATGCAAACAGACATATAGTGAGAAAATGCTATGGTCAACTTCATGTTTCTACAGGAAAAAATACTCTATAAGACAATATAAATTTAATTTGAATATATATAATTATACCACCTGTCATTTTCACATGATACTGATTTACTTTAATGCAAGTGTATACATAACAATAAAAGAAAGAGAACCAAACCAAATAATAATCTTCATCATAAAAAAGAAGCGCATATTTAATTCTTAAGTAGTTACTGAATTTGTGTAACTGATCTGCCTTGTTTTGAATATGTTACAGTCTACATTCATCAAATTTAGCACTGGCCCGGTGACCCATAGCCAGTGAAAATTAGTTCGAGACGAGTCTGGGAAAATTTTAAGAAATTTAGTAAAATATATAGTAGAATAAATTCAAAATTGGAATTCCGGCTAGTAAATTCAATATTTTAAATTCATTGACTGGTCTATACAAAATTAACGTGATTTCAGTATCTAAATACAAAAATTAAGCTAGCAGTCAAATGTGCAGGCTGACCTTGTTCTAAACTGGTGGCAAAGGCATATCATGTCTGTTGCCAGAAGGCTAAAGGTTAATGAAAATATTAAACTAAAAGAGTATACCATTTCTGTTTCCTGGACCTGGGCTGGGACTGTTGTTACCCTTGAACCTAGCTCTTCCCCGACCCCTCATCCCTGGGGGTCGGAGGTAATCAAACTCTACTGCCTTGTCCCTAATGATAAATAGAATAAAAACTTAAAATTCATTCAAGTTAATAAATATGTAACAAGGTAGTTCCAATAACATATATTAAAGATTATCAGATTTCAGTCATCAACAAAGATTGCTTGTTATGTTATTTTTTTTTCAGTATAACCGAGAGTTTAACTTCTTATGTTATTTTTTTCCAGTTAATCAGGAGTTTAACTAAGACCCGAGTTAATCCCTTGCAACATGCTTGGAGTAATCCATTGAATTTTTATCATTCTTCTTATATATACTCCAGTCTGGCTGAAACTTATTATGTCTTATAAACCATTTAACCCTACTTAAAAAAAAACGATTCAACTTTTTAAAAAATTATGAAATCTCTGATTAATCACAATTCCCTTCTTTAATTGTTATTTTACAAAGTAAGTTACATTATCGTAATTACTACTTTTTGAAAATAGACAGACAGGTACCTATCAATTAAAGCTTGAGTCCAGCAGACAACTGTCTGCCTCTGGTTCCCTTCTCCTACAGAGAAACTATGTAGATCTGGAAAATCTTCTACAGTCTTATGGATCAGCAATCGCAAGTAATTATTAACTGGTGGAAACAGCAAAACCCTGAAATACATGTATAAACAAAGAAACTGAAAGGAGTATGTGTCACAAAAACAAACAAACAGTGGTTTGAATTAATTATCTTTTGAGTCAAGCTTGAATCAGATTCAAAAACAAGTTTTGATTAAAAATATAAACAAAGTTATACTGTACATGTATATTCTATACAAAATAATTAATCACTATATATGTAACTGTACTAATTGCGAAAAAAGTAGCACAAGCAAAGAACTGAAAGATTGTACAGCTTGATGTTCAATGAATATTTTTTTGGAAACTATAATAGAATCTAGAACACCCAAAATAAAAAGCTTTTGAGAAATAAAAAATATTAATTAGCATTTGCAAGGCTTATTGGGTCTTTAAATTTGCAGAAATGATTCTTACACTTTATATAAGGAATGTGTCTTAAAGTCTACCAAATCTTCTGTAACAAGATCAACAAAGTGAGAATCTTCACTGGATAAATATCTACTGTCTATGCAGAAAGCCAGCTTGATAGCTGAAAGAAAAAACAGCATTTAAAATCAGGATTGATAAATAGATGAACTACAGATGAACTTGTTGAGTATACATGTCATGTGGTACTTTTAGTTTCTTCTATTTGGCCTTTTTCAACTTAAATGGTTCCAGTATTCCAACTTGAATACTGTATTATGAATCACCCTTAGGATATGTTGCCTGCTTTTTAAATTTGTCTTTTGACGTCTTATCCCTGATATGCAGGCTTCATAACCTCAGATCCCCTTTCTAAATTCCATTTTATTTAGTTCCGCCCATTGTTTTCTCGTTTAGGGCACAAGCATTCTTTTACTTGGGGACCATACGCCGCTTTTCATGGAATGGCACTACTGTGTCACATTGAAGGTTCCATGATAACCGCCGTATGAACACATCTGCGGATGTTTCTAAATTCAAAATTTTACCATTTTAGTGTTAAATGATGAATTCTGCTTAAGCTGGTGCTAGGGGGCGTGGACGGTAACTTGCACTTTCCAGTACTGTCCATGAACAGGCTCAATCAATCAAACCGAGCCTGCAACATTTTACAATTTTGTCATGTTGGGCTTTCTTTAGGGATTCTGTATTTCTCTATTTTATTTTATTTGTTCCCTCAGATGGGGGACATGGCTTGTATGGTCAAACTTCATTTTGGGGACCTACACATGCGCTTTAAGTCTCGCCAGTTGACTACTTCCTGGATAACATAACCAGTACACTTGCACCAGTAAGGATTATGAAAATCTACACAGAATCATAGATGTTAAAATACAAGTATTTATATGTCTCTGACAGAATCTCACCAAAATGAACAAATTATGGCAATGGATTCAAGAACTGGTGGGGAAAGTGCGGAGGGATGATCCGAGTTTAAATCAATTGTCAGTTACTCACTCAATGTACTTATAAAAAATGTTTAGCATGTTTGTTGCCATCAGACCAGTCTACAGGGCTCGCGCTGGCTAAGCCAATGAGCAAATTGGCTCCTAAATTATTAAATTGGCTCAAGAAAATCATGATTGGCTCCAACTTGCGAAAAGTATAACTTTTGGAATATCCAGTCTAAATTTAGCATTTGCTATTTTAAGAATGGAAAAGTACACATTTGGTTTTCCATTTACAACTTCCGCTTTACCGCTTCTTATCAAAAAACACTGCGACACAGTCTACTTTTTGTGGGGTCATTGACTGGTCTATATTTGTTACTTCCCTTCCAAGTAAAATATCGTTATAAACAGTAACACAGTCTAATACACTGACCTCATGGTATGTTTACATGTTTATCATCTGGTAAATATGACACTAATTGGTGTGAATTGTTGAATGTGCACTGGATAATTGGTCTTTATATTCGATATGAAACAATAACTAGCAGCATCTTAAGATTATCGCCAATCATATCAACAGCTTGGTTATGAAATGGACGACTTAACGGTAAGTTTGCAATCATATAATTTTATTGTTGTTGATAAAAAGATCAAAGGAATTATGAGTTATAGAATAGAAGTTTTTTTTTTTAAAATTGCAAATTAAATCTGACCTAATAATGGCTCCAAAAATGCATAAATTTGACAAAGAGTATATTTGACAATTTGTATTTCTGAAAAAAAAAATGACCTTACTTTGTACATAACCTCTATCTGGAGCATTCATTTACAAATGGCATACATGGCTGTGAAATGTTTATGGAAAATTCAAGAAGCATACAACATATTTTTAGAAAACTTATGCTAATTACTTTACTCTTATAATGAATATTTGGCTTTTTTTTCCCCTGAATTATGTTTAGTTTAAAACTTTTCAATATTCTTTTCTTCATTAATAATTATTCTTCTTACTGTCAAATGTTTCTGTTTTTATAATTTCAATAACAGATAGTCCTCAAACCAAATCTTTGGCATTAACCAAGCAAGCTGAAGCAGCACATTGGAATGTGGTTCTGATGTCACTGTCATGCCACTAACATTAGATTTTATGAAACATTGCTGACCAAATTAGCCTGGAAAATGTTATTCTTATAGCTACTGAGCTGCAAGCTTTTATGATCAGTTTTAAAGTGATTAAAATGTAGCTACCAAAATAAAGTTGGATATACATGTAGTTTATGTTTTTTTTTCTCTAAATATCTCATGCCTTTTTAAGGTGTTCCATATATGAACTAATGCTATAAATTAGTCTGACAACTGAATTCTGGTTATTTGACAGTACCATTGCCTTCTTAAAAATAACATACAGGCACGCAATTTTTGCCGCGAAAAATTGGCTCAAAGAAAAAATCTGCCAGTGCTAGCCCTGAGTCTATTACCAGGTCCAGAAATAATTTGTGAATATTTTTAATCAAAATTTTAGTTCTTTGAACCATTAACTTAAAGTTGTTCAATTGAATAATCTATGGTTTTGGTAATTGCAAAACAAATAAAAAATATGATGTTGCCATTACCATATATTTGCTAAATACACAGGATTTTCGATATTTTCCAATTTTTTGACATTTTTCCTGCTGCTTTCATTTCTAGCATGTGTACAACGTCATCCTAGTTTACATCAAGGTGAATAGACGTTTAGAAGTATCTTGTTTCATGTTGAATAGAAAATCCAAAGCGCTTCGGTAACAAGATTAGAATACACAATTTTCCATGACGTCATCAGAAATTGTGATAATAAAGATGCAGACAGGTGGGAAACATGAACCAGGTAAACTTAATACAATCTTTTGTAGAGCATAAACGAAGAATTTAATCGATGTTTAACAGTTGCATTAATGTTTAACATAAGTGTTCGTTAGAAAGTAATTGGCTAGGAACTGCTGTCAATTTATTTTAAGTAACATTCAAAGTGATTCCTTGTACTATTCAGCTGTTCAGTTAGTCCAACTAATTAGACTTGTCAAAGAGACACCGAGATAATTTTGGACGGGCGCTGTCTTTTTCCAACGGTTTGACAGTAAGAAAAAAAAAGTCTGTAAAATGGGTCGAACTGTTCACGCCAAATTAATTAGGCTACTGTTCAGTACAACTTCAACACTGTTCAACCACAGTACACAAGTATCTTTAGTGAGGCTTGTCACAATGTCTTATTAAGCAGATTCTGTTTTATTTTTAGCTCGACTATACAAAGTATATGGAGAGCTGTCCTATGTCTCGCCCAGGCGTCGGCGTCCGCGCAGTAAAATATTTTTCACTATAACTTTGTCATTTCTTAAGGTATCAACTTCAAACTTCAAATATATGTTCCTTATCATCATCCACATCTTATGTGACAAGGTTTCATAACTCTAGCACCAATATATTTTCAGATTTATCTCCCCTTGAACTTAGAATGTCCTCAAAAAAGTACTATTTCTTACTGTTTCTTCTTTATTTCTTAAGGGATCAACCTCATACTTCAAAATATATTTACGTTTTATCATCATCCCATCTTATGTGACAAGGTTCATAATCTAGCACCAATATTGCAAGAATTATCTCCCCATAAACTTAGTTTTTTTTTCTTGAAAAATGTTATTTTTTATGATAACTTTTTTATTTTTAAAGGTATTACTAAACTTCAAATACTTATTCCTTATCATCAATTACATTTTATGTGACAATGTTCATAACTCTTGAAGCAATATTTACACATTTATCTCTCTTTGAACTTAGGATTTTTTTTAAGAAATATATAACTTCTTTACTTTTTAAGGTATCTACTTCAAACTTCAAAAATATATATTTCTTATCATTACACAAATGTTGTGTGACAAGGTCCTAACCTTCTTAGCATATGACTATTTCTAAAATTATCCCTTGATCTTGGAATTTATGTTAACAAATATTATTGTTTTTACTATAACTTAATTCATAATTATATATAATTGATTTTTCTTTCGTAGTTTTTGTCCTTACTGCGTCCAGTATTTTATTAGTCGAGCTTGATCGCTGCTCCTGTGACAGCTCTTGTTGTTCTTGGAACAAGTCTTGCTTGAGTTATATTACAAAGAAACGTTCTAACACAAAACACAGAATATCCCCAATTGAGTGTACAAATTACATATGAGTTTAATTTCTCGACAAGTTAGTCAAAACATATTGACGTGCCAAAGCTGATTCTGAGATGTTTTTCGTTCTGGGGCAGAATCTAGAGGCAAGATATTGCCCAGACACGAAAATAGGGCCCGTAAGTCTCGTTTACTTTCACTTTCGATTTACCACTCTTCCGGGTACATCGGCAGACTTATTTACCGTTACGCATATAGGTAACCCGAAGAACTCGAGGGATATAAAAGTTAAATTTGTTTCGGTCCTCTTCAGATTTGAAGGAATGGATAGCACGGGTCAAAAAATGCAGGTAGGTCAATTATCTGACGGAAAAACGAAGGATTTATAGAGTTTAATAAAACTAGTTTATTTTCGGATGTTTTGTCAAGGTAGTGAATTCTAGTTGTTTTAGCTTTTAGTATTGTTTTTAAACTACTGATGTGAGAAATTATTCAAACCATTTTAACTTATTGAAATAAACAATGGAGAGACACTTTAATTTTAGTGTATATTAAAGTTATTACAAAATTCGGACAGTGCACAGTAATATATTTTTCCCTTCCATTTTATTCTTGTTCTTTTTTCAATTTATATATACATGTTAATATGGTACCTATCAAATTATGATTGAATTAAAAAAATATAATATTTGATTAAACCATTTCAGATGTATAGACAAGGAGGTATATGACAAGTATAGAATATACAGTTGTTCAATATGGACCATTAATCAACTGTTTGCATTGCCTATGATCCTGAAATATCTATACATCAAAGGTAAATACATGTAAAATAATTGATTAATTTTTATTTGAGATCGGAAAGATAAACAATTACCAAAATATATTAATAACTTTTGGATTTCACTGCATGATAATTGATAAGTAAATAAAACATTAAAAATAGTCATGTTTCACATTCAAGAAGATCAATATTTTTTACTGTTTATATATTATGTGTTGTTGTTTATCTGTAATGTTTATTTTACTTCAAATATGAAATTTTTCTGTCAATCATGACCAGCTTATTAAATGTAATGTAAATATCATTTCTAGTGTCTTACACGTGTAACAACATATTTATTGATTTTTCATTCTGCAGATAAAAAGGGAAAAGATGAGGAGGATTTGTCATGAAGACCTTTATTGCAACTACCATCTTCCAGTTCCTTAATTTGAGAATGATATCAGAGAACAAAGTTACAGTGAAATATTAGTTTAATATAAGCCACTGAGAATAGTCAAATGTACTTTCCTGAAGAAGATGAATGACATCCAGCACAAAAATATTAATGTATAAAGAGTATGATTTTATGGTGTTTGACACTATGATCTTGTTAACATGTTAATGTCACAATGATAGAAACAGAGTAAAATATCCACATTTAATTGCAGTTTTTAAGTATTAAAACTAGATACTCTATATATACCAAAGCTGATAACACACCAGAGATAAGGTTTTTTCATGGAATCACAGTATAGTCATATGACATTATGGACATAAAATGACTATGAAGTAAAGATTAGCAAAAATATTATATATCATCTACTACTAAGTACTAATATTGTGAGGTAATCATTGATAAGCTCACAAATTTGCATTCAAAGCTTTGATATCAAGCTGAACATTTTTCAATTAGAATATGATTTATAACTCTATGATAATTTGTTCATGTTAATTTTCAAAGTCTTTACATTTGTAAAGGAAATATTCTTATTTTGTATCAGTAGACATTCACAGTGTAAATTTACATTGTCCAAATAACTAATAATAATTCCAAGTGCTTTCCTGAAGTTTTTCTTCACTGGAAAATCAGTGTGATATATAATTATGCTAAGCAGTGCACTATAAATTGTGTAAAAATAAAAGTTTATTAAACTTATGAACTGTTTTTTTTGTTTCTACTATTTGGCATATATTTATAGCAGTGCTTAATCATAAAAGTTCATCTGCAAAATAAGTGTCACTGTGTACTTTAATTCTCTAACAGCAAGGCTAGATTGCTTGAATATGCAAGCATTGACTATATTAAATACTATGCATGTCATTTGAATTTTGTCTGTCCTGAAATCGAAACAGACACTATCTAAATAATATTGATGAAAAGTTCTTGACAGCTCTTCAATGACTACATATGTTACAATGGACAGAAGTTAAAAGCATTGTGTGGTGGTTTTTTTTGTTTTGTTTTTTTTGAAACATTGACAATGTTGAAACAGTTCCAATGGGTATATTAATGTATCAGTGATGTAATTGTTTTGTATCAAGTGCAAACCCTAAGTTTTGCATGTTATTGTATAGATAATTCACTTTTGGTAAAATGTCAACAGGTTCAATACATTATAAAACAGGTAATTTGAAATCCAAAGAAGTATATGGTATGTAATAACTACCCTCTGATACTAAAATCTTCAAGGAATGCAGCATTGCAAGTCTTCTCCAATTAAGAGAGAGACTTGGGCTTACAAAGGCTAGCAAGCTAGTGTTTTGCTACAGAATACTCAACACAGATGAATTGCATTAATATTGTTTACTCTGGTATTACTACCTGCCATGTACAATGCAAATCATGGCTTTTCTAAGAGCAGTGAAAGGCTATAACTGGAAGAAATTTTACACACATCTCGTCTCAGAAACAAGTTTTTCTTTGAGATGATTTTTATGATATTAAAATAATGGTTAAAGATTACATTACTTTACAATTGCAGTGATCGTGGTGATAATATGAAATGAAACTCAATCAAGATAGAAACATTTTAATGCTGAACATTAATCTTTTTTACCATTCCTGTTACTTTACAAGTTCTATTTATAACAAATTTATCTTAATTGTTTTGAAAAACTACATGATGCCTGGTTGAAACTGTTTTGGGCAGCCATTTGCAGAAGATAAATTATCTTTGAATAATTAAGTTAATACAAAGTTACAAATGACAGGTTATTTATTTCTAACAAAGACAGGTTATTTATTTCTTACAAAGACAGATATTTTGTTTAACATTTTTACACTGACATATATCTTTGAAGTGTCTTCAACTTTAGTTTTTATTAGAATACAAACATTCAGTCAGACAGTTTACACAAGACATGGAGCTTTAAGAAGCTTTAATTCAGTTAAAATCTGTAATGGACTGCCATGTCTCTACCACTATGTACTCCAAGACTGTGTATGGACATTTCCTTTCAACTATGCCTGGTGGTACGTATCACTATTTGATTTCTAATCTGATGGTGAACACTCCAAAATAAATCAAGAGCCATGACAAGTACTCAAGATCCAACCATGAAATCACATACCTGCATATAAAGAAAATTTATCATGAGTTGAAAGCAATAATAATTGGTCAGCTATAAATTTCAATCATTTTCATATTGTCATCAATAGAAAATAATGTTGAAAAGGAAGAAACACTTCTTGGTGTCCTAGTTTTTGTAGATTTGCTTTGACAACTCATCTTTAAAAAATGTGATAGTGACTAAGTGCTTTTAACATTTTAACTGAACATGATTTAACTAAAAATATGATCCACTTACTTGAGAAAAATACTTTAAACAGTATTTAACATGAATGAACTACATATGCCATACTGTTTGTTTATTTAGCTACACTGTAATTATTTACAAAAACGAGAACATTATATGTTATACAATAATATTTATTTTTCATTAATGTAGTTTAAGTAGCTTTAAGTATATAATTTTTTACCAAAACGATTTTACAGCAGAACATGCATGTGTATTTACATCGGATACCAGTTGACGTCTTTCATCTCACCACTTTCCTCAGTCTAAATTCTACAGGAGCAAAATATTTCATTGAATTTTATGACAATTTAAATTGGTTCTATACAGCTTGACTGTTTGTGCTTTATAAAGATAATAATTATAAATAAATGATATTTTCAGTTGGAAGAAAATATATTCAACTAAAACACACTGATAATCATATTGAAATGTTTATCCGAAATATGCGCTGTCCGAAATTTCTAAACATTATATACTTCTGAGAGATAATCAGGTAGCGCTACAGAATATTGATAAAATCAAATTCACCAGTCTGGTGTCAGACGCGAATGATGTTGTATCAAAAAACAAATTTATTTAGATTTACATGGAAATGAAAAATTACAACATTTATTGGGATAAACTGAATTTGAAAATGACACACCCACCTGAAGATTATACGAAGTTGTCTTTCATTGATACTTGTTCACAAGATGAGACCATTTGCATTTCGTTACAATAAACAAAAACTCTGCCAATTTCCACATATCATTTGCTTTTCCATGTAAGTTTTACTTTCCCACCGGCATACAAGTATTACCCAATATAGATAAGCAATGTTGTTGATATTTGTTTGTACCCGGAAGTGCAAAATATCATGAAATCTCGCAAGTCACATGACGAGACTTACATACCCTATAGCACAATATCTTGTCGCACAGTACAATTAGTTGGACTACTTGACAAGTCAGTCCAATTTCTGTCACTGCTGGCTTCATATATAATTGGGCTCTATGTTATACTTGTATTTCTCTGCATACATCAAAGTCAAAGTTAAACATTTAATTTTTCTTTGCAAATAATTAAGACCTGATTGCAGACTGATACTTGTCCTACTTTGTAAAAAAAATGTTATTGTGTAATTGATTTATTACATGTAGTTAAGGTTTTAAAAACACCCTAAATTATTATCATTTCAAAAAGTAGTAATCCTTTTGAATTATTCTGGACTGGTTTTTGGCTCCGTATAATGCAGACTGTTGTAAGTTTGTACCAGATTTACAAATGTAGATACAGACAATATAATAATAACAAATATCCAAACTGCAGGCAAAAAAGTTTTTTTCAGTGAAGAAAAAAAATTGGTGCTTAAATTTAATGACTACTGGTTGTTGTTATTACTTAACATTCATAACCTTAAATGAAGATCAATTTCCTCAAACTATCAAAGATGTCCACTTCAGACTATTTTAATATTTGGCCATTTATTCATTATGTTATGTCATAAGGGCAGTCTGACCACACCTTTAGCATTTGACATGACATAAAACAGCTAGTGGATAGCTCATAATAACATTTTGAAATGACTAAAACAGTGGACTGCTCAAATTTAATTTACACTGGACCAAACTAATTTTTACTGGCCATGGGCTAAATTTGATGACTGTTGGACTGCTCAAAATTAAAGATTGAAATGACTTAAACTAATATTTTTCATCGACTTCAGATGGTAGTAACAAAGATATCATTGGTGTGAGCCTTATAAGTGATTGTGAAGGTCGAAGTTCAACTAATATTGGAGTATGTTTGATATCAAAAGAGCAGCTGATTTCCTGCAAGGTTTCAGAGTTGAGAGATGTGATCAAGAAAGAAGTATTGGCTTGTCCGTCCAATTTCCTGATTTGCACAAAACAAGGGTAATCATGTTCATATTTTGTCTATTATTTGCAACTGACTATTATTGTAGATATTTTCAGTTGATCATTATTTGATGTATAACCATTATCTTGCTGGCAAGGACTGTATCTACCTGTGCCATTTTGATCATGGTCTTCTCTGTTTGCTATTTGATCAGTGCCAATTTTGAAATTTTCCCTTATAACATGATTAATGGTTTTGTCTAGATAAAAATGGCCAAATCCATTTCAGATATTAAGCAAGATCTCAAGATTTTTAGCTGTAAAGCTTTTTATAGATACAGTGATAAAAACCTTTAAAATAAGAAACAGCCTTATAATACTGAGATGCAGTTGTTTAGCAAGGGACATAATCCTGAAAGCCATATTTTTTAATTATGCCCCTTTTTTAGAATGTATACAAACCAGCCTTAGCACAACAGAATTTTTAACAGACCAGGGTTAACACGACAGAATTATTAACAGACCAGCGTTAACACCAATGAATTTTTAACAGACCAGCATTAACACCACATAATTTTTAACAGACCAGCGTCAACACCACAGAATTCTTAACAGACCAGCGTTAACACCATATAATTTTTAACAGACCAGCATTAACACCACAGAATTTTTAACAGACCAGCGTTAACACCACAGAATTTTTAACAGACCAGCGTTAACACCATATAATTTTTAACAGACCAGCATTAACACCACAGAATTTTTAACAGACCAGCGTTAACACCACAGAATTTTTAACAGACCAGCGTTAACACCATATAATTTTTAACAGACAGCATTAACACCACAGAATTTTTAACAGACCAGCGTTAACACCACAGAATTTTTAACAGACCAGCGTTAACACCACAGAATTTTTAACAGACCAGCATTAACACCACATGCAGTGCTCTTACTTTATCTTACAGATGGCCTCTCACTGGCAAACAGGAGACAGATATACTCGTTAATCAAATTATAAATGATAAACAAGAGGTTCTTATAAAAATCAAGCATGGTAAGCCTGTTTGTTCTTTATAACATAGTCAAATGTTATTGATCTTTATGGCTATTTCATAGTATTTATTGATGCCTTGTTTCTAGTATTGTCTGACAAATTTTTCTTATTTTTGCCAACAAGTACTTTCAAAATCTTGAATACTGACTGAAAAATTTAAGTGTAAAAAGCTATACTGGTATATCTGCTACCTATATTATACAAAGTTTATGTTTGAACTTTGAAAAAAAAAAGGATTATTCCGAACCTATAGATATGAATGAAAAATGTTTGTGTATTTCCTTCAGAGCTAATAGACTTACAGGATATCATAGCTGAAGAGTTAAAACCCTACATAAAATAGCAACATAATAATTTGTTCTAGAATAGTTTATTCTGTTTATATACAATATTCATGTGTGTTGAATTACAGAGACATTCTTTGTTACAAGAAAATTGTATCATTTACAAATTTTATAAAAAAAAGTCATTAAAAACATGATCTTATGGAATATTGTCATTGAAACCTCACCCATTTTTACACTCCTTTAAATGGTTTGAGAAAGAATGAAAATAATGTGAAAGCTGAAATCTGATATTTCCACCTTGGGTGGTCTGAATTCAGCTTTTAAGATTGTCTAAAGTTTTAATCATGATTCATGATGGTTTTCATCATGTTAAATTATTCTTTCATTGTTTTGTAACTTCAGACACAAAAGTCATTCACCTGAATTCAGCTTCATTATTGTCATTATGTTTTTATCATGGTTCTAACACAGTTTTTCGTAACTATATACACAAAAGTCATGCACTTTTTATTTTGTAGACAAACCAAAATGTGGGGTAAAGGACAAGCAAGGCAACATGATAGGATTTGTTCATGTCAACTATTCAGCTTCCCTTACAGACATGAAAAATCTTATACAATCTCAGGTACGTTACTATGGAAACAGGTTTTGTTTTCAAAACAAGACATTAGCTTGAATTAAAAAAAAAAAATTGAAAATTTGTAAATTATCCTTTGTTTGTTTTTTAGCTCACCTTGCACAAAGTGCAGGTGAGCTTTTAGTATGGCCAACCAAATGGCGTCCGTCGTCAGTCGTCTGTCCACATTTTAAATATTCTAAGGACGTCTTCTTTGATACCGCAAGGCCAATGTTAATGAAACTTGGCAGGAATACTCTTTGTATGAAGCTCTATCAAGATTGTTCAAAGAATTCCATTTCATGCAGAACTCTGGTTGCCATGGCAATCGAAAGAAAAATCTTTAAATATCTTCTTTTAAAGAACCCAAAGAGCTTGAGCTTAGATATTTGGCATGAAACATCTTCTAATGAGTGTCTAACAAGTTTGTTCAAATAAAAGCCCTAGGGTCAAAATTGGCCCCGCCCCAGGGGGTCATTGATTTTCCCTATATGCATACAGTAAAAACTTAAAAAATCTTCTTTTAAAGAACCCAAAGAGCTAGAGCTAAGATATTTGGCATGAAACATCTTCTAGTGAGTGTCTACCAAGTTTGTTCAAATAAGAGCCCTGGGGTCAAAATTGGCCCCGGCCCGGGGGGTCATTGATTTTCCCTATATGCATATAGTAAAAACTTAAAAAATCTTCTTTTAAAGAACTGTAAAAGCTAGAGCTTAGATATTTGTCATGAAACATCTTCTAATGAGTGTCTACCAAGTTTTGTTCAAATAAAAGCCCTGGGGTCAAAATTGGCCCGCCCCAGGGGGTCATTGATTTTCCCTATATGCATATAGTAAAAACTTAAAAAATCTTCTTTTAAAGAACCCAAAGAGCTAGAGCTAAGATATTTGACATGAAATATCTTCTAGTGAGTGTCTACCAAGTTTGTTCAAATAAAAGCCTGGGGGTCAAAATTGGCCCCGCCCAGGGTGTCATTGATTTTCCCTATATGCATATATAGTAAAAACTTAAAAAATCTTCTTTTAAAGAACCGTAAGAGCTAGAGCTTAGATATTTGGCATGAAACATCTTCTAGTGAATGTCTACCAAGTTTGTTCAAATAAAAGCCCTGGGGTCAAAATTGGCCCCGTCCCAGGGGGTCATAGATTTTCCATACATGCATATAGTAAAAACTTAAAAAAATCTTCTTTTAAAGAACCCAAAGAGCTAGAGCTAAGATATTCAGCATGAAACATCTTCTAATGAGTGTCTACCAAGATTGTTCAAATAAAAGCCCTGGGGTCAAAATTGGCCCCGCCCCAGGGGGTCATTGATTCTCCTATATGCATATAGTAAAAACTTAAAAAATCTTCTTTTAAAGAACTCAAAGAGCTAGAGCTAAGATATTTAGCATGAAACATGTTCTAATGGGTGTCTACCAAGTATGTTCAAATAAAAGCCCTGGGGTCAAAACTGGCCCCGCCCCGGGGGTCATTGATTTTCCTTATATGTGTATAGCAAAAACTTAAAAACCTTCTTTGAAAAAACCCAAATAGCTTGAGTTTAGATATTATACATGAAACATCTTTAAGTAAAAATCTACAAAGTTTGTTCAAATAAAAGCCTGGGGGTCTAAACTTCCCTGCCCCAGGGGTGTCATTGTTTTTAACTATATGTGTATAGTAAAAACTTAAAAAATCTTCTTTTAAAAAACCCAATGAGCTAGAACTTAAATGTTTAGCATGAAACATCTTCTTATGGGTGTCTACCAAGTCTGTTCAAATAAAAGCCCTTGGGTAAAAATTGGCCCGGGGGGATGGGGCTATATACAGGTGAGCGACCTCAGGGCCATCATGGCCCTCTTGTTTTGTTTTTTTCTTTCTGGTAGAAAAGAATGTTATAATTGAAATTTGATATCTGCAGTCTAAAATTAGAACTGTATTGTGTGCCTGAGATAAACACATTAACATTCTGTATTGTAGGAAAAACTTCTCTTACCATAACATGCATTGGAGCAATAATGTTTTTGCATGTTTGCTTGCAATTTATAGAATAAAAAATGTTCACATGGAGACAGAAACGGGCGAAATTTTATATTGCTTTGTATTAATTCTTTTGTAAATAAGTAATAGATATACCATTGGTGCGTTGACGATTTCTGGGTTTGCGTAAATTATACCATAATCACGTGACCTTTCTTATGCAATCTCACTCGACTTTGTCTCGTGAGGTTAAGGCATAAGAAAGGTCACGTGATTATGGTATAATTTACGCAAACCCAGAAATCGTCAACGCACCAATGGTGCATCTGTTTTAACCTATAGCTCCGCCCAGAAACACTTACTCCTTCGATCTTCAAAACTGAAAATTATACCATAGTCTGGGTATGGTATAATTTACGGTTATTGGAAATTATACTTGGAAGAATTTTACATAAGAAGCGCTGAAGAGCTATAGGTTAATGTAAATTGTACATGGACTAATTTTGGATTATAGTATGAATACAAATGAAATTGGAAATAAAGGTTTCTTTGTGTTTTTTTTTAATTTTGCTCATAAAAACTTGTTGCAATTTTATGTCTCCATATAAATGTAATTTAAAAAAAATCAATGATGTATCAATCTTTATATCATTTGTAAATGATTGATGATTTCTTGAGAAAAACAAAATTAAAGCAAAAAAAGTTTTAAAAAAATCTCTTATTTCTTTCAGGTACTAAATCAAGACATTTCAAATATATTTCAATTCTTAGACGGGAATTCTTGGCCAATCAGTATTCTACAAGAGCAACACATGACTGTATATGACATTCTCATTGGTCAATGTGTCTTCACAGATATTAATAGCAACAACAAATCAAAAGCCTATTCTCCACCACCGAAAGAGCCTCCTTTGAAAAAATTTAAAAGGTGATTTTATGCAGGCTTGTGTTTTTTCTTTCTCACTGCTAAATTTCCTTAATGAACTGGCCCAGCTTTGATTTTGGAACTGTCCATTATTATTTGAAGGGGTTTTAATACAATTTACCAAGAAGCTAATGGTATAGAGCCATACCAGGCTATGTGGATATGCAGGCTAGCCTGGTTGAGTTCTGATATTTTGGGATTTTTATTTTATCTGCTAGTGTTCAGGGGGTAAAATTGTAATTTCATTCCTTGCATCTCTTGTTTGTGATATGTGAAATTGATCTGATCTCTCATATGAAAATTAAAATTTTACAGTATACACATAACATATATGTATATTTATTTACAAGAGCAACTAGTGGTCAATATTCACTTTTAAGATGAACCATAGCAGTTTGTGTTAACATTACAAAACATCTTGATCATGTACAAAACACTAACTTCATATAACATTTAACTTCAAATTTCTGGCATTGGAGTTAATAATCTGTAATTTGTGGTCAAACTGTGTTTACCTCTAGTCTACATCTGTTTCTTATATATTTCTTTATCATAATTTTGTTAAAAGGCACAGTTTGTTCTAAAAGTAGTAAAACAAAGACAAAGTTGTTCTTTGTCTCCCATACAAAATACTATATTTTCTATAACTTTTTGTATAGGCAAATTGGCCAAAAAGCAAAAGAATTTCATTGATATGGTTAATTAAGGAAAATGTGAAAGAACATCAAACAATAAATTTAAATCTTTTGACAAATGGAAACAAGAGAATATGGGGAAGGGGGGGGGGCTTTAAGTATTTTAGATGTCAAAATTTAATAAGTAATGTTGTTATTTCAGCATAAATGAGTTGTCATTTCGTTCAGGGAAAGATGTTTTTCGACAACTCAGCTCCGACACAAACGAAGCTGGTTCTACATATAAACAAGTTCTTATCAGTTATGTAAGATCAGAGGCTGCGGATCATGCCCTGAGGCTGAAACAACAACTTACAACACTTGGTCTTTCCGTGTACTTGGTAATATTGGAATTTTTGCCACTGGATTATTCAAAGAATACACACAAGTCATGTCTTCAGGGTCATTAGTGTAGATTATTGTATTTTCTTGAATTAAACACATGTCTACGGATCATAAGTTCAGGTTATTGACCAACACCTAAAACTCTAGCATTGAGTTTTACTGAATTTGTCTCCCTTTCTTAACTTAGAAAATACCTTCTTGTACAATGTTTAACCATTTCATGAAAACTGCATTGTTGTTTTCTATTAGATTACTTTATTATATTTCCCAATATTCCTGTGTGCAAAAGTAATGATCTACCTACTCCTAGCCTAATTTGAAAGGAAACAGTTACTGGTGCAATTATACTAGAATGTGAAAGTAAAATCATGGCAATCTTATTATAGACAAAAAAGAAAACAAAAAAACATTGTAACATTTTTTTTATTTCCAGCTTCAAAAGTTAATTTGTATTAATAAGATAAATTAGATATGCAAATTTTAAATAGTATTTTTCTGATAGTAGAAACAAATTCTAAAATTGTATTTGATTGTAATGAACATTTAACTGACCACCATTACAGGATGTACATGAAATTCAGACTGGTGTCGATTGGCAGGATTCTCTCAACTTTGCTGTCAGTGGTTGTGAAGTGTTTGTACCATTGGTAACACAGAAATATGGGGAAACGCAGTGGACTAATAGGGAGGTAGGAAAAGTTTTAATTGTTTACCAACAAGGAACACCATATTACAGGCTGTATTGTCCTGAATGCTTAGATATTTAGCATGATGGTGGAAAACAAAAATCAGAAATAGGAAGGTAGTCCCATAGATATTGTGCGGTGTACTTTCTTGATTGCATCTAACCATAGATGTAGAAAATACTAGTAGTACATAAAATTGTCATTCATTGCCAGGTAACCAGCTTCAAAAGTTTCCTCACTTATATCATAGATTGTGTTGAGCTGTTTGTTCTTTTTTCTGGTTTTAAGTTCGTTTTGGCACATATCCTGGTTTTCCTGGATAACTTAACAGTAATTACCCATGTCACCCTGTATGACTGACTATTTATCCCACATAATATCTAAAACAGCAGTGAAAGTCAAATGACTTCATTGTGCAAACTGACCCAAGAAGGAAAAGCATTTAAACAGTTTTTACTCAATCTGCAAAAAACACAAAAAGTCAATTTTCAAGAAAGGTATAATTTTTTGGTCTGTTTAGGGTACCCCAGCTGATCTATGTAAGAATGTCAAATTTTATGGTTTAAGGCTTTCAGACCTCAGTGGACTTTTAAAGTATAAATATTTTTAATTAAGGCTTCTTTAATTTGTATAAATTTGTTCCATATATTTAAAAGCAACTGATCATTGGGCTGTAATTATTTTCAGGTGAAGTTAGCTGATGTGTTAGGGAAATATATATTACCTGTAAATTTCTTACCTGACTGGCCTCCGAGATGTTTGGCGATACAGTTTGCGACAACACAATTTATACCCTGGATACCTCCCACACAACTCACAGGTAATGTATATAGTTGTTGCAACAACATTTGTACATATATTTAGACTTTGAAAAACTTTTTTGACATATACATAGGCAAACTTGCATTTTGTGTCAGAAAAAAAATTTGACCATATGTAAAATTCCTTATTTTTCACATCTTTCATACATGAGTTTTGACATTTGATTGGTTTTTAGTCCCCTACCGGTTTACCGGAGGGGACTTTAGGTTTACCCTCCGTCCGTCTGTCCGTCCATCTGTCTGTCAGTCCGAGCAGACAAGAGCTACATTATGAGGTTTAGGTTTATGTACAGGCACTCTGTATGGGGTTCATTCCGTAGAGACATGTATTATGTGGTTAAAAATGCTCTTATGGGGTTAAAAAAAATTGCTCTTGTGGGGTTAAGAGATCAAAGGAATAACCCCACAAACACGTCTGCTAAGTACGTCCGTCTGTCAGTCCGTCAGTCCGACCGTCCACAAAACTGGATCCCGCGATAACTTGAAAAGTAATGAAAATATTTTTATGAAACTTGGTATATGGATAGATGGCAGTATGGAGATTATGCACGTCTTTTTATTTTCTTCCTATGTTGAAAATTCTGGTTGCTATGGCAACAAATAGGCTGAAAACATGTCAAATTTTATAGATAAACTGGATCCAGTGATAACACAAAAAGTACTGGAAATATTTTTATGAAACTTGACATATGGGTAGATGGCAGTCTTGAGATTATGCACGTCTTTTTATGCCCCCGCCATATAATGGCAGGGGCATATAGTGTTACCCTGTTCCGTCATTCCGTCATTCCGTCATTCTGTCATTCCGTCCTTCCGTCCTTCCGTCATCATCAGTTTCCGTTCATTATCTTAATAACCCTTGCACATATTGAACTCAAATTTGACATATGGATATGTCATGAGAAAATACAGGTCAAGTTTAAAATTGGTCATGGTTCGATGATTTTTGGCAGAGTTATGCCCCTTTTACATTGAAAATAATATGAAATTTTCAGTTTCCGTTCATTATCTCCCAAACGGTTCAAAACATTCAATTCAAAATTGACATATGGATATGTCATGAGAAAATACAGGTCAAGTTCGAAATTGGTCATGGTTCGATGATTTTTGGCAGAGTTATGCCCCTTTTACTTTGAAAATAATATGAAATTTTCAGTTTCCGTTCATTATCTCCCCAACGGTACAACACATTCAACTCAAACTTGACATATTGATATGTCATGAGAAAATACAGGTCAAGTTCAAATTTGGTCATGGTTCGATGATTTTTGGCAGAGTTATGCCCCTTTTACATTGAAAATAATATGAAATTTTCAGTTTCCGTTCATTATCTCCCAAACGGTTCAAAACATTCAATTCAAAATTGACATATGGATATGTCATGAGAAAATACAGGTCAAGTTCGAAATTGGTCATGGTTCGATGATTTTTGGCAGAGTTATGCCCCTTTTACTTTGAAAATAATATGAAATTTTCAGTTTCCGTTCATTATCTCCCCAACGGTACAACACATTCAACTCAAACTTGACATATTGATATGTCATGAGAAAATACAGGTCAAGTTCAAATTTGGTCATGGTTCGATGATTTTTGGCAGAGTTATGCCCCTTTTACTTTGAAAATAATATGAAATTTTCAGTTTCCATTCATTAACTCCCCAATGGTAAAACACATTCAACTCAAACTTGACATATGGATACGTCAAAGGAATGCGCAGGTCAAGTTCAAATTTGGTCCTGGTTGAATGATTTTTGGCAGAGTTATGCCCCTTTCACTTTGAAAATAATATGAAATTTTCAGTTTCCATTCATTATCTCCCCAATCGTACAACACATTTAGCTCAAACTTGACATATCGATACGTCAAAGGAATGCGCAGGTCAAGTTCAAATTTGGTCATGGTTCGATGATTTTTGGCAGAGTTATTCCCCTTTTACTTTGAAAATAATATGAAATTTTCAGTTTCTGTTTATTATCTCCCCAACAGTATTAAACATTCAACTCAAATTTGACATATTGATACATCAAAGGAATGCGCAGGTCAATTTCAAATTTGGTCATGGTTCGATGATTTTTGGCAGAGTTATGCCCCTTTCACTTTAAAAATAATACATGTATGAAATTTTCAGTTTCCATTTATTATCTCCCCAACAATATTACACATTCAACTCAAATTTGACATATGGATATGTTTTTGGAATGCGCAGACCAAGTTCGAATCTGGTCATGGTTCAATGATTTTTGGCAGAGTAATGCCCCTTTCACTTTGAAAATGATATGAAATTTACAGTTTCTGTTCATTATCAACCCAACAGTGTTACATATTCAACTCAAAATTGACATATGGATATGTCAAAGGAATGCGCAGGTCAAGTTGGAATTTGGTCATGGTTCGATGATTTTTTTGGCAGAGCTATGTCCCTTTCACTTTGAAAATAATATAGATACATATTAGGAATAAGCAGTTTAAGTTTGAATTTGGTCGTGGTTCAATGATTTTAGACAAACTTATCTTTCCTGAATGTTGGAAAAATTTTGAACTTTCACTTTCAGCACTCATACTTTTGTGGAAATGTATATAGCCATTATGTTGGCTACAAATATGCAATATGCTATTTTTAAAAGGTTAAGACTGAATAATTTCAGTGCCTTGAACATTGTATAAAAATGGTTTGTGTTAACATTGAAAAGTTTTAAGGGCTTTGAACTTAGAATGATAAAAATAATTTGTGCAAACAAATTTGGAACTAAATATTATAACATTTGAAATTTTGGCTGCATGCGGGGGCATCCGTGGCATGATGACACATTTCTAGTTCTTTTCTTCCTATGTTGAAAATTCTGGTTGCTATTGCAACACATAGACTGAAAATATGGCAAATTTTACACATAAACTGAATCCAGTGATAACTCAAAAGGTACTGGAAATATTTTTATGAAACTTGACATACATGTATGGGTAGATAGCAGTCTTGACATTATGCATGTCTTATATGTTCTACCTATTTTGAAAAAATATCTGTTGCCTTGGCAACAAATAGGCTTAAAACATGGCAAATAGAACAATATTTGTGATTAGTCAAAAAGAGCTGAAATGTTTATGAAATTGCATCTTTAATTCAAGAGTTATCTCCTCTTTAAGAATTTTGCTTTTAAAATGTTATATTTTGGTAACAGGGATGTTTCAAATATTAACTTTAGAGTGTCCTTCAGTCCGTCTGTCTGTTCATAAAAACTGTTTCCTGTGATCACTTTTAAAGAACTTTTCCAACAAATTTACTTAAAATAGAGAAAAATTGAAACATAGTGAATGGCCAATGGCCCTTCAGAATGTTGATGAGGTTCTAACCGGTAGGGGACTTATGGATTGCTTGCAATACTATGATAATTGCTTGTTTTACCAAGTTTTAATTGTATGCATAATTACCTAAAAAAATGATATCAGACTGGACAATCTAGTGTTTACTTTGGTGCTAGAAAATTTTCCCATGGCTTAAAAATGATGACATTCAACTGCCTTTATGAATGATTAAAGTGCGTATAATGAAGTTGTTTAGTTGTTATCAACTTGCAAATGCATACACTACTATAAGAAAAAATGTGCTGAATAAAGATATTAATTTGCATTATTTCTTTCCAAACTATGATTAATATGTAAGTTATGATCTTGTCTTTTCCGTCATGAATTTTGAAATTATGTGGCACGATGTACATCTATTTGGAATCTAACACCGATTCTATCGGCAAGCGTTATTTTCAGCAGCACAGGACACATCATATTTTTCTTTCAGTTAGATTGGTGTATAACAATTGTCTTTTCTCTATCCAGAAGTCGAGGAAAATTTATTAGTTCAATAAAAGCCTGAGCCTGTTGGGGACACCATGCTATCCGATCATTGTTTGCACTGTGTGCTGTTCAATCATTTTGGAAATGTTCCCTAAAATGATGAATGGTTCTGTCCAATCTGACTGATGGACGAGTCCTTTTAAGATATCTAGTGTGGTTAAAAGGTTAAATCATATGAGATCATATTTCTAATTGTTCATTTACAGATAGAACTGAGAGGGAAGGTGGTGGTAAAGTTGACTGGACATTAGATGATATTAAAGTAGTATCTCAGAAGATTGTTGATAGGGTTAGAGGACTTAATTTGAGATCTGTACCATCTCTTGTGAAGAGGGTAAGGGTGTTACTGTTATATACATAATATGACTTGTTAAAGAAACATTATGCACAGTTTTTCATTGTCAAGTTGAGCTTAATATTTTTCCCCTTGTGGCTGAGGGGTTGTCTCTACGAGTACATTTTCTAAATATTTATGAAACATATGTTTATATACTACGACTGTAAGCTTGGAAATAAAAAAAGAAAGAATTTTTTTTTTCTTAAGATATAAAAACATATTAAATCAGTTTTGTAAAAAAAAATCTTAATAAAGGTTTTAGAAGATAGAAAAAAAATTTGATAAGGAATACTATTTATCAAAGTTATGTATGTATGTTGTATTTATTTTCTGTAGGCAACAATAGTAAAGAGTTGCGCATGTGTGACTGAAGACAATATGATGGCTATAACATCCGGCAGGGAGGGAAAACCACTTATCATGATCTGTGTACATTACACACAAGAAGTTTATGTAAGTGTTGCACCATAGGGCAAAGAATGATACAGCCATGATGTCTTGATCAGAATATTGGATCTTTGGTGTATATCACATGTATTTTATAACTGTGGACCAATACATTTGTCTGTGGAATTCCTGTCAGGCAACTCCATACCTGAAGCTCAAAGAATAAATTTTTAAATTATTTTTCAAATTTGGGACTGTGAGATATACTGAAACAAAAAAGAAACTTTCTCCAAGTTTGAATGTAGATATGTTAGTACAGTTTTTCAATCCTTTTGAAACTCGATTTTTACGTTGAATAAACATATCAGGCTTTTATACGGGGATTAGCTGACCGATTTTGCAAACAAAACGAGTTTTACAAGCTACTACATGTATATAAGTGTGTACTTCTAAGTGGTACCCTTGAACAACTGGCACATACTTTGCGAAAGTTTCTTTCTTGGTTCAGTTTATATTGAAATTGAAGAATTTAAGTGAGAATTTGTATTATCTTGAATATGTTTGAACAAAACTTCACAAATTGTATCAAAAGGCAATAGATGACTCAGTTTGATAATTGCTTAGTTAGCTGTTTAAAGTAACTATTTGCATAGTTATCTGTGTGAAAGTGAACCAGTTGCAAAGTTAGCAGTTTATAGTGAACCTGAGTTCAATAGTTGTCTGTTTGAAGTGAACAAATTGCATTGTTATGTGTTTTAAATGTTTGAAGTGATACAGCTGCATAGTTATATGTGTGAAAGTGAACCAATTGTTTAGTTAAATGTTAGTTAGCTGTTTGAAGTGATCCAGTTGCATAATTATCTGTGTCAAAGTGAACCAGTTGCATAATTATCTGTGTCAAAGTGAACCAGTTGCAAAGTTAGCTGTTTGAAGTCAACCAGTTGCATAGTTAGCTGTTTGAAGGCAACTGGTTGAATCGTTAACTGTTTGAAGGCAACTGCTTGAATCGTTAACTGTTTGAAGGCAACTGCTTGAATCGTTAACTGTTTGAAGGCAACTGCTTGAATCGTTAACTGTTTGAAGGCAACTGCTTGAATCGTTAACTGTTTGAAGTGATCACCATAGGGATAAAGATATCTTAAATACAATACAATATTTAAATAAAAAAATGAACTATATGATTGACAGGGTGGTGAATTGAAGACACTGCTAGAAGAGGAAGGGTTTGAGGTGTGGTGTACTACTGAACTAGACAGGGAGCATGTGAACCATATAGATGGTTTAGCCAGCAGTCAGGATGGTAATGAAATAGCCCTTTACTGTGATACCATATGATTATTTTGAATTTGGTACAAATCTTTTGCTTGCAAACTCTGTAGGTCTGTTGTATTGTATGTTATGAATCTTTCTCACAGGCATTTGTTAGTTAGGGGGTTCTACTCTTGTGTGTTCTAAAGAATCCCCTAACAGAGGTCTTCCTAAACCATTGTATATGGAAAGTCTCAAATTGACCATAGCATCGTTGGTTTAATCCTTTGAAAAAAATATCATAAACATTTTTTGAATGTTCACAATTTGTAATTTAGTTTCAACAAATAGGCTAAAGTGGGCTTTAATGGGGACATACTGTGAAGTAAAATATTTTAGTTCTGCTTAAATTTGTTAAACTGTGTTTGTCATTTGCATTGCACACTTATTTTCTTACTGAGAAAGAAATAACAATTTGTTTACAGCTTAAGTCAATGATAAAATATTACTTAGTTGTGAAAAGTAACAAATAATGGGTTTAAAGTCCTGTTCAAGTTAGAAGATTGTGATATTTTCATATTTTGTTAAAGTTTTTTGTATTAATAATAAAAATTGGTGCAATGACTTGAGCATGGTTGTTGTTTTTCTTTTCTTTTATAACAAAATATTTTCTTTTCTTTTCAGACATAACATATTCAGTGTTAAACAAAGGCAATGATAAGTTTGCAGGTTGTCCAGGTGACAGTATAGCTAGAAATATTGAGCTCTTCCAAGAAAAGGCTGATGATGCCAGTTTAGTACTGTTTGTACTATCTAATGATTTCTCCATGTCTAGAGTCTGTCAACAACAGGTGATGTTTTATTTTCTATTTTCTCTGCTGAATTTATTTATTTACATTGATCACCTTATCTCACTTAGATTTTTTTTATACCTTCTGTGCTCTAATTTGATTTTAGAAAATTTTGATAATTGCTATACAGTCTTTTTATAAATTTACCGTAAGATAAATATGTCAAATTGGCATGCTAAAGTTTTGTTGCTCTACCCTGGTGTTCTTTTGTGCCTGTAATAATATACGGGTACTGATGGACAGATTATGTGTAGATCAGAAGCATTGTAGCATAACTATATAAGTGTCAACTTGGAACCATGAACAATATAATAATACATAGTGAAAGCCCTGCAGAGCAACCCCCCTTAGATCTTGCAGAAAAACATTGCTCGAAAAAAAGTTACATTAATCATGAAGTCTAGCTTTGGAAAGAAATGCCTGTAATAAAGATGTTATTGCTTAAAAGAATTTTCAATAAATAACGCCATTTAGTTCTTGCAGAGAGATGTTGCTCTGAAGAGGTTAGATTAATTTTGAAGTCTTGCTTTGGAAAAAAAATGCCTGTTGTATAGATGTAATTGCTTAGCAGAGGTTGATAAATATTTGTATTATAATATTTTATATGTATTGATAATTTCAGGTGTTTTACTGTGAGCACAGGAAACATGTTATACCTATATTATTTGAAGATTTCAAGATGCCTGACTGGATGTCAATGTTAGTTGGGTCTCATGGTTTTGAGGTATGCTATATTTTAAGCTGCATGCTTCCAGTTGAGCCAAAATATTTCAAGAAAATTGAACTTGGGGAAAAATGTACTAAGATTTTAAGAAAAAGTAAAAGTATTTAAGATTCAAGTGATAATTTATATCTTGTGTGCAATTAATGACCAATTTTTGCAGTATTTATCACCATATTTCTACTGCGTTACTAATACAGTAGGGGCTATTTTTGCATATTTCGATCCCCGGGAGATGATTTGGTAGTTTAGCGCGGAGGAAGGTAGTCTAGTTCTGGTGTAACTCTCCAGGAACAATGTTTAGGAAACTACCCGCCTATATGACTGAAATGCTGTTGGGAAAAGGCTTAAATGAAACAAACAAACAAACGTAGATTATAAGTGCTGATTGCAATGTGTCAATTCCTTTCTTTGTTCACTTTACAATATTTTACTTTGAAATACATTTTCAAAATTTTCATGAAAATTAGGATGAATCTGGAGGTGTGCTGCTTTAACTACATGTCTTTCAGCATTGTTTTTTTTATGAATATCAGGTGTGTAAACACGATATAAATAACAGAATTTTAAAAAAGAAAGGAAATAATTCAATTTTTTTAATGACAATTTGTAAAAATAATGTAATCTTTATACATTTCATTTTTAAGACCTGATAATCTCCATTTATTTGCAACCTATTGAAATTATACTCTGAAATTCTGTGCTGTGACCTATGCTTTTATGTTAGATCTTGGCAAAAACGCCAGATTGTTTCATGTAGGGAAGCTATAGGTATCCAGCATGTTTGTTAAAGGTTGATGTATTTACCGTAGTTGTTAGCTTGTGTCTGAAAGTATGCATGGAAATGAATCAGAGGTGTCTTTCTCCACTTGAAAATTATTGGAACCTTGTCTTATAGTTAAAATCTAGTAGTGTTGATGTGAAAATTATTTTTTTTTTGGTAAAGATTGAGTGTATGCCTTATTTCAGATGAGAAGTGATGAAGATTTTATGGAGATTCTGATAAGACGAGTCAAGGCGACAATCAACGAGACATTACATTCCAGCAGTCCACGCTCAATGAGAAATAATTTACGCGCAAGAATGAATGGTTCAGGACAAGTTGATGGTAATATTTTAAGCACACTGGAAAGACAAAGCTCAGAGACATTTAGTCCACAGTCTGAACTGGTACACCCTGTTTTTGCCACAAGTGAGAGTTCTATTTCCAGGACTGGCAGGAAAAATGGGACGTTAAGCTCGAAAAAGAAGCTTGATTTAAACGATTATGATCTCGAAAATGTGAAACATAGTTCTGATGTAAGCTCAAGCTCCGAGACCATTGAAGATGTTGATGATGTAATGGATGATCGGCCCAGTCTTAGCTCAATGAAGACCATTATATTGTAATGTATGTTATTACCTAGTTTGGCAGAGCTTACATTAGATAATAAAACTGTCTATATGAAAAACGCATATTATTTTCCATAAAATTTACATTTATATTGTTATTGCATTGATCTTGAGTATTGTATATCATATTATACTATGACGGTCATTGGATAGAGCATCTGAAGTCTTCCAATACATTAGTACTGATACTAACAATAAGGTGACACTACAAGTGATGCTATGCTCAATTTCTAGCTCGACTATTCGATAAGAATAAGTAGAGCTATTGCAGTCACCCGAGCGTCGGCGTCGGCGTAACCACTTATGTTAAAGTTTTTGTAATAGTTCAAATAAGTCCATTGACATATGGCTTTGAAACTTTGCACACTTGTTCACCATCATGACCCCAACCTGTAGACAGGAGGAGGTAACTCTATCAAGCATTTTGACAGAATTATGCCCCTTTTTCGACTTAGAATTTTCGTTAAAGTTTTTGTAATAGTTCAAATATTTTCAAAGTCCATTGACATATGGCTTTCAAACTTTGCACACTTGTTCACCATCATGACCCCAACCTGTAGACAGGAGGAGGTAACTCTATCAAGCATTTTGACAGAATTAAGCCCCTTTTTCGACTTAGAATTTACGTTAAAGTTTTTGTAATAGTTCAAATATTTTCAAAGTCCATTGACATATGGCTTTGAAACTTTGCACACTTGTTCACCATCATGACCCCAACCTGTAAACAGGAGGAGGTAACTGTATCAAGCATTTTTTTTACTATCAAGCACTAAGAATAGTCGAGCGTTGCTGTCCTACCGACAGCTCTTGTTTGCCATCAAGTCAGTTGAATTAGTAAAAAAAAATTGAATATTGACTATAATAATGGTGATTGACAAATAATTGATAATGAAAAATATGTATGATACAATATGAAAATTATGTAAATTATAAAAACTACCCCACTCTTTTTAAGAAATGAATGTAACCGATTCATTCTAAATTTATAGAAATTTTAATTGGTCACATGGATTACTATTATTTTATCCCCACAAATGAAGTTAAGTAGGGTACAGAGGAGTCAGCTTGTCTGTCGGTCTTGATATGTAAAGACCCAGGTTGGTATTGCATTTGGATCCCCTCGGTAATGATTTTCCTGGCTAACATTTTTGTGGAAATCATTGCACACCTCCTCATGTCAGCTTGACTGTTTACGACCTTAGAATAAGTTATTCATGACAAGTGTTTGAAGATTGTTTTGTGAAACATTCCATCCCAATAGCTGAAGAAATCTCAGTGGCTCTTAACTTGGATGCTTCTTTATGTCATGAATAACAAATAGGGAGGCAACCAATGTCTTACTCCAACAATAAAACTGTAATGTTTCCATACAGAACATTCCATTTTGTGCCATGTTTGTATTGTTAAAAGGCAGCTATTTTACACTTATACTATGTAATAATGTATTTAAGTTGTTAAGTGTTTTAATTTAGAAACTATTTCATGTATAAAATATTCACTTTCAGTTTTTAGCTCACCTGAGCATATGCTCAGGGTGAGCTATTAGGATCACTCTTTGTCCGTCGTCTGTTGTCCGTCGTACGTTGTCCGTTGTCCGTTCACACTTTTCAAACGACATCTCCTCTGAAACCATAAGGCAGATCATAATGAAACTTCACAGGGATGTTCCTTGTGTGAAGCCTTAACAAAGTTGTTCAAAGAATTCCATTCCATGCAGAACTCTGGTTGCCATGGCAACCAAAAGAAAAAACTTTAAACATCTTCTTCTAGATAACCCAAAGAGCTAGAGCTTAGATATTTGGCATGAAACATCTTCTAGTGAGTGTCTACCAAGATTGTTCAAATAAAAGCCCTGGGGTCAAAATTGGCCCCGCCCCAGGGGGTCATTGATTTTCCCTATAGGCATATAGTAAAAACTTAAAAAAATCTTCTTTTAAAGAACCCAAAGAGCTAGACCTAAGATATTAAGCATGAAACATCTTCTAATGAGTGTCTACCAAGATTGTTCAAATAAAAGCCCTGGGGTCAAAATTGGCCCCGCCCCAGGGGGTCATTGATTTTCCCTATATGCATATAGTAAAAACTTAAAAAAATCTTCTTTTAAAGAACCCAAAGAGCTAGACCTAAGATATTAAGCATGAAACATCTTCTAATAAGTGTCTACCAAGATTGTTCAAATAAAAGCCCTGGGGTCAAAATTGGCCCCGCCCCGGGGGGTCATTGATTTTCCTTATATGCATATAGTAAAAACTTTAAAAAATCTACTTCTAAAAAACCCAAAGAGCTAGAGCTTAGATATTTGGCATTAAACATCTTCTAATGGATGTCTACCAAGTTTGTTCAAATAAAAGCCCTGGGGTCAAAATTGGCCCCGCCCCAGGGGGTCATTGATTTTCCCTATATGCATATAGTAAAAACTTAAAAAAATCTTCTATTAAAGAACCCAAAGAGCTAGACGTAAGATATTAAGCATGAAACATCTTCAAATAAGTGTCTACCAAGATTGTTCAAATAAAAGCCCTGGGGTCAAAATTGGCCCGCCCCAGGGGGTCATTGATTTTCCCTATATGCATATAGTAAAAACTTTAAAAAACTTCTTCTAAAAAACCCAAAGAGCTAGAGCTAAGATATTAGGTGTAAAACATGTTCTAATGGATGTCTACCAAGTTTGTTCAAATAAAAGCCCTGGGGTCAAAATTGGCCCCGCCCCAGGGGGTCATTGATTTTCCCTATATGCATATAGTAAAAACTTAAAAAAATCTTCTCTTAAAGAACTCAAAGAGCTAGAGCTAAGATATTAAGCATGAAACATCTTCTTATCAGTGTCTACCAAGTTTGTTCAAATAAAAGCCCTGGGGTCAAAATTGGCCCCGCCCCAGGGGGTCATTGATTTTCCCTATATACATAGAGTAAAAAGTTAAAAATCTTCTATTAAAGAACCAAAAGAGCTAGAGCTAAGATATTTAGCATAAAACATGTTCTAATGGGTGTCTACAAAATTTGTTCAAATAAAAGCCCTGGGGTCAAAATTGGCCCCGTCCCAGGGGTCATTGATTTTCCCTATATACATAGAGTAAAAAGTTAAAAATCTTCTATTAAAGAACCCAAAGAGCTAGAGCTAAGATATTTAGCATAAAACATGTTCTAATGGGTGTCTACAAAATTTGTTCAAATAAAAGCCCTGGAGTCAAAATTGGCCCCGTCCCAGGGGTCATTGATTTTCCCTATATACATAGAGTAAAAAGTTAAAATCTTCTATTAAAGAACCCAAAGAGCTAGAGCTGAGATATTTAGCATGAAACATGTTCTAATGGATGTCTACCAAGTTTGTTCAAATAAAAGCCCTTGGGTTAAAATTGGCCTTGCCAGGGGGAGGGGGGGGCAAGAGTCATTGTTATTCATTATTTGTGTATAGTAAAAACTTTACATCATGAAATATCTTCTAATGGGTGTCTTCCAAGTTTGTTCAAATAAAAGCCCTTTGGTTTAAACTGGCCAGGCTCTGGGGGCCTATGTCAGGTGAGCGACCCCAGGGCCATCATGGCCCTCTTGTTTTATTGATGTGTTTGTTTGTTTTCTGTTTACCTTATAATTTCATCAATTTTTAAGCTTCAGAAGCTTCATAATGGACTCCCTGTGAATTTTCATTGTTCTCATCACATCATATATCTTAAAGTGGCCTTTAGCTTTTATTTTCTGTTTGAAAAACAATTTTGTGTTGTTTCAAACTAAGTATTTCTATCTTGGAAAGGTGTGTCATATCACTGTTAAGCCTTCTTCATTCAAAACAGTGTCCCGAGAGCTATATTATAACGCAACAGTGATGTTTTGTTTCTAAAAATAGCAGATCAGGAAACCAATCATCCACTTTACTAATTTACATACAGGAAGCGGACTGGTAGATTAGAGGTATCGAGGCATTTCCGCATCATTTATGTATTTTATTGTTGGCATATTTCATTTCGACTTTAATTATTTTGATTTGACATATAAAACAATTTATCTAAAAAAAAACATATTTAACTTTTAGAAAAACTAAAGGCAATTTAAAGATATAAAGCTATATCTTAAGACATATTTTTTTATAAAATTTAATCAACATTAAAATTCTATTGGTTCCATAATCGTATGGTTGATTCTTGAAAGAGTTGCAACATACATGTAGATTGTTTCTATTATTACTCATGAAAATTGTATGTAAACAGAATAAAATGTCCCGCAACAAAATATTAATCCGATATTTTAAGAAATATTTTATCCACATTTGCAATGATTTCATATTATGTGCCATTCGCTTTAAGGCAATTTGCTACCATATTTATTTTATACCAGCATTTTGGAAGTATTATTTTTTAAAATTCAGTAACGTTTGCCTCAGACGTATAGCTTATAGACTTTAATATATATTTGTGTTTATTTTATATGTTTACCTTTGATTATATGGCAAAATTTGAAATCCTGTGCATTTACATTGATTGACAGATCATGCGTGGATATTTTTAGTTTGACTTTTTAATGAAAAGTGGGGCTGTCCTACTCCCTACTTCAAAGTTGCATGTGCAACTTTTTGCATAACATCATACCTTGCCAGCCACTAAAGGTATTTGCTCCTTACTTCACACATTGTTTTGAGATCATAATAGGATTATTTGACATAAGGCCCATAACTTTAGCTTGTTTTTGAACAAAATTATTGTCCTTTTGTTAACACTAGATATTCTTGATGCAACATAAATCTTCAAAATAAGTGAATATATTCACTTGAAAATGTATTCATGTCTTCAGGATCATAATTTGAGGTTACTACCCTTGACTGAAAGTTTGACATGGATTTTGACTGAATTATAAAGCCCTCATCGCCAAGAAAATTTTGGACTTGTGAGAGGCTATAAATGACCTCAGATTGATCATAAGGTAACGTGTAACCAACGCTGAAAAGCATTTGACTCTATCTCAATCCATTGAGAAGTTGCAGCACTTTGAAATCAATTTTGATGGAAAAAATCAACGCAAAATAGTGATTTTTTGGCAATTTTGAGATGTCCCCTCGTTGCCATGGTAACAGAAAATTTAAGCCTGAGCATGTTGTTGCAAGGGCAATGGTCCAGTCAACATTTGTGCCAAGTTTGATTAGTGTTGAAGCAGTTTTTATAGTATTATAGCAATTTGAACTTGTAACGGGAGACTTTTCAATGAAAACAGCCATTTTTCACCAAATGCTCATGAAGTAATGGGTTAATAGTATATTTCTGCTGTTAGATATAATAAATATATTTCTGCTGTTAGATATTGTTACTATATTTCTGCTGTTTGATATTGTTACTATATTTCTGCTGTTAGATATAATACTTATATTTCTGCTGTTAAATATAATAATTATTTTTCTACTGTCTAATACTTTATTGCTGCTGTTAGATATTACAAGTGTATTTCTGCTGATGTTTTTTTTATATTTCAACTTTTTAACAGCTGTGCTGTATATTATGCTGTCTTTATATTTGATTTTCTTGAGAGTCTATGAGCTGTTTTCTTTGCTATTTTCAATACATGTTTGTACGGATTTAGCATATACGTATTTGTTTAGTCCTTTAATATACTAAGCTTATTTAAGCATAAACAGCTCAGATTTAGTTTGTAAGAGCATTGTGATTGTTTATTGTGTTTAATTCTAAAAAAAAGAGGAATATTAAAGATAAATTGTATCTTTAAAACTTAAAACAAATTGTATTTTTAAATTGTATCTTTAAAAGATAAATTGTATCTTTTAAGCTTAAAATAAATTATATCTTTTAAAGATGATAACAAGTTTCATCTTTTCAATGCATTTAATTCATGCTGAATACATACAGTGAAAAGAGTTTAAATTTTGTTGTTTGTTTTGTTACCAATGAAAACTCCTGAGCACAGCTGGTTTCAATAAACACATTTAAAAAAAAACAGGTGAATATTACAAAACGAGTCTAGTTTTCTGCCATCCAGCTTTTCAATGTAGTCAGGTGACTGATACGTGTATTCTATGATTTATTAGTACAGTCAATGAATTGTCAATATTAAAGTGTATTGCTGATTCCTGTTGTTTACATATTTTTTTATTGAATTCAAAAAATAGACTGAAAAAATATGATTGTGTATGAAAGACAAAAATTCTGGTATATTTTAAGAGTGAATGAATCATGCACAAAATCATTTCTAAATGGTTAAATTCCACTTTAAAGAGAAAATATATTTTGTTCTGGGACATTTTATTCTGATTCCATGCAATATTCAATAAATAAACAGAGACATTGACTCGCTATTAGTCAGCTCAGAGTATAAGTCACTAGATGATAAGCCCCGTCTAAATTCACCTGGTATCACCTCTCTGTAGGGTCATTTGCAAAGTTTACTCTCTCTACCCATGCTGCCCAGCAACTATTATATAGCAGACATTACATTGTCGAAGAGGATGATTGGATAATAGTTTTCACTAGTTTAATTAATTCTAGTGTTCTTGTTGATAATGATTTCAGTGTTAAAGTAATTGTGACTGTTTTCAAGAATCAAGGATTTATATAAATTATTTCAAGATGGCATTTCCGAACTGCCAACACCACAGCATTTCAAAGTTGTTGGGCAAAATAGTAACTTGTCCAGTGCATTGAACAGTTACATTTAACGATTTGAATATGTACGTTATACATGTAGCAGGAATAACATAAGACGAACGAAAAAAGTTTATTACATCTGGGAGAAGAAAAACAAGCTATTTACAACTTTTACTATTTACTTTATATTATAACAACAATACGTCAAGACAACTCATACAGCCAAACAGTAAGAGATTTTACACACTACTTCAATCCAGAAAAAATATAGCACATGAAAATCTGGAAACAAAGTGATCTGAAAATCTGGAAATGAAAGTCATCGATTGAAAGGTCACACGGTTCGAATTTGTCACAAGTGTGACGTATTGGGTCGTTTAGTTTTTCTATGCTCACCATTTACAAAAAAAATGCACATAAAAATGAAAATTTCAATGTATTCGTCACATGTATTTTTACTCGAATAAGCTCGTTTTTCACAATACCGTTTGCTTATGAACATTGATAAAAACATTCATGATCCTAGCTCTTATTGTTTTTTTTACAACAATATGTATGAAAAGTTGAAAATTGCTGATTTTGACTAAGTAATGGACAATAACTTTGGCATAAATGCGGGAAATCCACAACGAAACCAAATGTACACAACTTCATATGTTGACTAATATTCACATGAGTTTCAATACTGATACTGTTTATAAACGACAGCATACAGCTTATTGTGCTCAGAACTGTTCTGGGTTTATGTAGTATCTCTACGAAGTTGATGAAGGTCTATAAAGTGATTTATGGTTACAGCCAGTCTTTAAAATGGATACATGAATGCTTTGTCATTACTTGATTTTAATATGAACAATGTTTACACACAATTTTGGTATTTGCGAATTGCTATTTGAAATACAAAATGCGAATGATATTTGCCAATGATAAAATGCATGTTATTGGTCAGGTTATTTTCGATCATTTCCTCCATTATTTCAGGGCGCTGTCTTCAGGAGGTAGGTTAGTAACAGGATATTTGCGAAG